CGAAACGGCCGTCCAGTGCTTCCAGGTTTCTAATGGTGGTAAAGCAGTACTAGGTAAGAATGGAACTTCAATTGATGAAGTAGTGAAACTTCATCAGTTGAGGTGGTTGGGATATGTGTTGCGGTATGCTTAACTACCGACTGCCTCGACGAGCTATATTTTGCAGTGTAGGAATAGGTTTGACGTAAGCTATGGGCGGCCAAACCAAAACATGACAGAAATCCATGAAGTCAGTGACAAGTGGACTGAGTTATGTTAGTAGGTTGGGGCCTGCGAGACGATAGTGATCGATGGTTAGAGAGCCTGAATGACATGGCTCAAAATCGTTTGCAATGGAGCAGGTGCATCCAGTCTTTGTGTTCTCTCAAATTCTAATCTTCTGAATTCCTCATCACCTTTATCTTTCCCTTTTTTTCAATTTATATCACTGGATTTTACTTCTTGAATAATATCTTCGAACACTAATCTTTTCGATTACTGCTAATATTGACCACTACCTCTATCATCAATTCGGGATTTGAATTGACAATTCGATCACTGCGTGTGCTAATGCGTTATATGGCAACTTGCAATGATATACGTACAAAGTTTAAAGTTGCAGCTGATTGACTGACTGACTATCAGTTACTTATTGATATTTGTTAAAGCTTAGTGCAAGAAAGAACGAAGAAACTTTAGTTTCTCTATATTAGGATATTCACCTAATATCCTAAGAATATTATTTTTAGAAGTACAGTCCTATTAGTCGATTTCTATTGGTCAAAATTATGATCGTTCTAACCGTCAAAGTCAAATACTTCAATGTTGCCTCTTATTGGTCATCTGGACTGTCAGTGTCATTCAAATGTTCTTTTCTATTGGTCGTCCTAAACTGTCAATGTCACAGACGTTGATGCTCTTTCTTATTTGACCTTAATACGCACTATCTGAAAGACTTAATAATTCCGTTTCTCCTGCCTACCTCTCTTCTGTATTCGACCCAATAAACAACTTCATCCCACGGTGTTGCGTTCTGATATCTAAGAGATTTGGAAATAGCATTTTGGGTCGTATTGTGATATTTGAATCGGACGCCGCTAGGACTGAATAACTATACGTAGCAGCGTTATAACACTCTACAAGAATGATTTTTCTAAACAAAGTTTTTCGTACAGATTTATAACAAACCACTAGAATGTCAATTCAATTCACTCAATCTGTTTTCGGTTAACAGAATAAGCTGCGAGTCTCATACGTGGAGAAATTCGAATAATTCAGAGAGGTTTAGAAGAACAATGAAAGCTCCAAAGCACCAAAACATCCAACTCCGAGAGAATGAAACTTCACCACAATGTTCCAATTTCCACAATTCATATTCACTAAACTAAGAGGAAGCGAAAGCAATTTTAAGACAAAATCGTATTGATGACAGTGAACAGTGATGCACACACACACACACACACAGTAAGCAGAAAGTTTGAAAATAGATTGAGATCGATGAAAATTGTGGAAATTTTTTACATTATGACATAAAATTCATCACATACAAGCTGAACTTTATTGATACACTCGATTTTAATTCACATTATTCTGTCTTAAAAAAAGACAAACGATCATAATGACAAACACACAAACACACAGAGAGATATATACAAGGGAAGTAGGGCATGTTGTCATGGTTACAAAAATAGAAACAGTTCATAATACTCCCTCTAATTTCATATTGAACACATAGAATTTATCTATACAAACAAAAGTATGATCACACCTAGCTAACTAGTTAGTTAGCTAGATGACATCTGTCATGAATTTATGCACAGAAAAACGTGTAGCGAATAAACATAATCAAAATAATGGAAAAAGATTTTTTTACAAGAAAAAAAGTTGACGACTATCGAAGCATAAAGTAAGTGTATGGAAAAAACCTTATTCTCGTCTGAATTCTCAGGATTCGACCTTCTACAAGGTGGCGCGCTTATTGACTTAGAATATGCCGATGACATAGTCTTACTTGGTGAAGACGCTGACAAAGTGCAGAGTCTTCTGACCAACCTAAGCAACAATCCAAGCATGTTCGGGATGCGGTTTTCCCCCTCGAAATGCTAAATGTTGCTTCAAGATTGGGTTGCATCGGCACCTGAACTAGTGATAGGGAGTGAAGTAGTCGAACGTGTAGACCGCTTCAGTTACCTGAGGAGTCTCATCAGTGCCGATGGCCTGGTGACTGACGAAATCTCAACACGGATACAGAAGGCTCGATTGGATTTTGCCAACCTGCGTCACTTATGGCGTAGGTGAGATATCCGTTTGCTGACTAAAGGACGAGTGTACTGTGCAGTAGTTCGCTCCGTCTCACTTTATGGCTGTGAAACATGGCTAGTGAGAGTAGAAGATGTTCTTCGGTTACTAGTATTCGATCATAGGTGTCTTCGAAGCGTTGATCGTATATCATGGGACAACCGTATAAGCAACGCTGTTATTAGGAAACGGGTGCTAGGTAAGAATGGCAGATCAATAGACGCAGTAGTGAAACTTTATCAGTTGAGGTGGTTGGGACATGTGCTGCGTATGCCCAACCACCGGCTGCCGCGACGAGCTTTGTTTTGTAGTGTAGGAGTAGGTTGGAAGAATGTTAGGGGCGGCCAAACCAAAACATGGCAGAGATCCATGAAGTCATTGAAAAGTGGACTTAGCCATGTCAGTAATTGTCGACTACCTGGTTGGGGTCCGCGAGATGATAATAATCGATGGTTAGAGACCTTGAATGACATGGCTCAAAATCGTTTGCAATGGCGCCGGTGCATTTATTCTCTGTGTTCTCTCAAATCCTAATCTTCTGGATTCTTCAATACCTCTAGTTTTGACTTTCTAAACTTTTCTCATTTAATCATACTTCTTGAATAATATCTTCTAATCCTAACCTCTCCGATTACTTCTAATTCCCTTACTACCTCTTCTACTATTGGATTTGAATTGACAATTACATCTCTGTGTGCTGATGTGGTATGGCAACATGAACTGATGTACTTACTTACGAAGTTCTACGTTGCATCTGACTGAATGACTGACTGATAGTGATATCGAACAATAGTATATATACAGACAAATGTCATGATGTCAAGTTGTCAATCAAAAATCAATTCAATTCAATTGAAATATGAAGGAAGCGAAAGCAAAGTTAGTTAGTTACTTTCAAAATGAGAACAATATCAAAGCATTATTAGTGGGTATATTTGACATGCATTTTGAATGATGACTGATTTGGTTTTGTGTGCTGTTATGGGTATGAAGGTTGTTGTCACTTCCCGGCTGCCTACACTATGCAAATTGGATTAGCGTTGGTCCAAGGGACGACTGCTTGAGGCCGATCACACACAGCTTCTTATAAGGAGTTTGTAAAATATTAGCTCCGCTCTTCAAAAAGCCTTACCACCGGAGACGGAAATCCGTGAAGTAGAGTGAGGTGTGACATGTTTAGGGTCCACCTTTTTCTAACTCCCTCCTTTCTTGTGATCAGAAGGCAGCATCTCTTCAGATGCTGGCTGTCCAAAGGAAACACCTTACTGCTGTCACACGCCTCTACAGTCAACAGTACGACTTCGTCCTCTGTTAGTCGGACATAGATGGAATTAAAGCATGACTGCGTCAGCTGCGCGCTGATTGGCCAATTTCCTATCCAATCAGCGCCTGATCGAATCTTGGAGAACAGGGTAGGATATTCTCGTACTGTTAGCTGCGTGCTCATTGGTTAAATCTAATCCAGTCGATCACGTGAATTTCTATCCAGAAGCTTCTCATGTAAATGCTATAAATAAACTAACGTTGTATCTATTTTTGGCCTTCGCCTTCGCCATCACTTTTGGCTTCTTATTTCCATTTAACCTTGCTACTTGGAATATAATCTTTCCTGTTCCATGTTTTGATTCTTGGGAACTTGTCCAGTGTATTGTAGTCAGAGAATACTAAGCAATAGGATTTAGCTGGGAATTATCTAAGCAAAGCGTTACAACACCCTCAGACCTTCAGTTGTTGCTTTAAGTCTCATCGTTCTTTAATCGACCTGCCTGGCACGGTAGAATCTACAGGAACATACGTTCCAGCCAATATAGCTCAGTCGGATCATCACAATAGGCAAGCCCGACCACTATGTGTCAAGCTAACAGCTACAGTCGAGCAAATCACATACATACAAAGATGATATGATGTAACTAAGTAAAACATAACACAGATTCACAATATATTACCTTTCAATTGACCAGCACTGATTCTACGCGTCTCCACTTCATTATCTTCAAGAAGATTTAACATAATTTGATGCAGTGAACGATTAGCACCACTATGATTACAAACTAATGTTTGAAGATTAGTGATCACGGATGCCATTGCTCGTCTAACATCTCTGTAGAACGCAAAAAATAATAATAATAATAACGCATGAGAAAAAATAAGTTCGCAAAGGTTTTTACAAACGACAGTACATATAAATGCATAAAAATTACACATAACCAGTGTTATTATTGTTTCTAAATATTTGTCACATAAAGTGTACACACAAGTGAAGAGAATGCATTTCCACATCAAATAGAACAACACTTTCATAATATGATCAACGCAAAATACAAAACAGAACATTTGAAGGTGTTCGGATATTCATCCTAAGAGAATTATTGGTCAAATCCTATTGGTCGATTTCTATTGGTCAAAACTATGGTCGTTTTACCTGTCAAAGTCAAATACTTCAATGTTGTCTCTTATTGGTCATCCGGACTATCAATGTCATTTCAAATGTTACTTCGTATTGGTCGTCTTAACTGTCAATGCCACAGAATTCAATGCTGTTTCTTATTCGACCAAAATGTATAAATACACATTATCTGTAACGTTTTAGGACCACGACCAGGACCAGGGCTCGGTCCCGGATCCCTAGTCCAGGATCCTGATTCTCTTCTGGACTCGGACCTCGTACTTTCTAACTGCTTGTAAAATACAGGTTCTACTTCACATCAAGTCTTTTTATTTTTACTCAATATGGAGGTTGTGATAATCGGAATTGAGTAACATGTCGTGTCACCTGATCCTAGCTCTCGTTTCCGACTAGGTAAACTCGTAATAGTTCAAGTATATCAAGATGACGGGTTTACGTGCAGGCGTAACAGAAGGTTATTGTGTTATTGCTCCAATTATCATACAGAATTATACAGGGAACATGCTATTTTTTATTAACAACGAAAATAGGCATTATTAAACATGGATGGTTGGTTATCAAACAGATAAAAACCCCGTTTAAAAAATTTGAGCACAAGTTTTATTTTAAATATCGAAATAATGAATGTGAAACGTTTTTAGACCACCATTAGAAACCTGGAAGCACTGAATGATGGCCGTTACGCATCCACGACCTTGCAGCACCTTCGGTCTTGCGCACGAACGACTAACCTCTGATTCACTGAGCCATCATCCAACGGTGTTAGTGTCTGAGTCTGATCAATCTAAGGGTTTTTTCTGCAACCTCACACATTGTCTTTGGTAGTTGCTGCATAAACTCGACAGAGTTGAACTCCATTGGTGACATCTTCTCACTGCAACTACGAAAATTTTGTCACGATTGCATACGTTACTGGAGCCCCTCTGGGGCTATTGCTGGGGTATCAAGCCCGGATGAAGAAGCAGGGTTAGGTGAGGGGTTAGCGAGTTAGCGAGTCCATACCGCAAAAGTGGTGAAAATTCATCAGTTGAGGTGGTTGGGACATATGTTACGAATGCCTAACCACCGACTGCCGCGATGAGCTATGTTTGTGTGGTGTAGAAGTAGGTTGCAAGAAAGCTAGGAGCGGCCAAACTAAAACATGGCACAAATCCATGAAGTCACTGACAAGTGGACTGAGTCATGTTGGCAGATGTAGGCTACCTGGTTGGGGTCTGAGCGATGAAAATAACCGATGGTTAGAGACCTTGAACTACATGCCTCAGAATCGTTTGCAATGGTGCAGGTGCATCCACTCTTTGTGTCCTCTTAAACTCGAACCTTGAATTCCTCATAATCTCTACCTTTCTCCTTCTAAATTTATCTCACTGAATTATACTTCTCGACTCATATATCCAGACTATAATCTTCTCCATTACTCCTAATACTTCTAATATCGCTATCACTTTTGTATTTGAACTGACAGTTGCTTCTCTGTGCTGATGTGGTATGGTAGGCAACCTGATCAGATGTACTTACGTACGAAGTTCTGCGTTGTATCTGTCTGTCTGACCAGATGACTGAGACAGTGCATCGAACAATTTTAATGTCTAGCTTCAATCAATTTACAATAGTACACATTTGTTCATGTTATCATGTTATCAGTTTCTCTATCTGATTAGAGACACCCCATTCCGGAGCTACGGTTTGTGTTTGTTGAAACCCTTCTCCTCTCATTTCCTTCCTCCACTAACGTAACATACCACCTAATTTGATTTTTCTACACTGTTTATTTTAATTGTTGTACAACTAGCTAACTACATAGCCTGATATGTACAGTGTGTGTATGAATTTGAACTTTTGTGTACATAATTCGACGAAAAGTAGCTTTCTCCTTTTTTCTTCAGATTATTTCTAATCATTATTACACTGATCATAATAATCTTCACCATTTCATAAGATCCCCCCATCCTACGGCATTCATGAAAACAAAAATTTTCCTATCCCTCTTTATTTCTCCTTAAATAAATAATTATTGATTGACCTTAAAAATTTTTTATAAATGACATAATTTAGATAAATGAAAGGCATTTTAATGAACACAAAAGTTCACTAGTTTTTTCATAGATAACAACATTATCTAATTCGCTTATTTTAGGGGCTTTGTAATATACAATAATTATGAATTGATAAACAGTCAGTAAAGTATGCTGAAAACAAAATGAAAATTAGGGAAATAAATTTCAGGGTGCAAAATTTTCTTTTTTCAGAATCAGTCAATGTTAAATCGGCATTAGAGAAACCTACAAGCACTAAAACGAGACTCATCAGAAAGCAGCAGCGAGCATCCACGGTTACCGTGACTAGCCAGATTCTAATCCAGGGCCTGCGCGGGAACGCCTAACCCATCGGACCACTAAGCCGGTATCTAACGGTGTTAATGTCTAACGTGATCAATTCATGGAGTTGTGCAACCTCATACACAGTCTTCGGTAGTTACTGTCTACACTCGAAAAGGTTGAACTTCACTGGTCACGTCTTCCCACTAGAACTAGAAGATTCCTCACGAAGCTAGCTAGTCACTAGTGAGCACAGGTAATTTGCATTACGGGGTTGTTGTGAAGATTGTTAAGTTACACATTTTTTGAAACCATGAATCGATCAATGTTAGACCACCATTGATGGTGGTCTAACATTTTATTTATGTGTCTCTTATTTTAGGGGCTTTGTAATAATATACAATAATTATGAATTTATAAACAGTCAGTAAAGTATGCTGAAAACAAATGAAAAGTATGGAAATAAATTTCAGGGTGTAAAATTTTCTTTTTTCAGAATCATGAATCGGTCAATGTTAAATCGGCATTAGAGAAACCCAGAAGCATCAAAATGATGGCTGTTTTATCATGGTATAAGAATCATCAGCAAGCAGCTGCGCGCATCCACGGCTACTGTGACACACAAGATTCGAACCCAGGACCTGCGCGCGAACACCTAACCTCTGGATCACTAAGCTGGCATCTAACGATGTTAGTGTCTAACTTGATCAATTCACAGAGTTGCGCAACCTCATACACAGTGTTCGGTAGTTACTATTGTCTACACCCGAACAGGTTGAACTTCACTGATCACGTCTTCCCACTAGAAATCGGAGAAACTTCCTCACGGAGCTAGTCACTTATGAGCACATGATAATTTACATTAAAAGGGTTGTAGAGATTGTGTGCAGGAGTCGTGGTTGCGCAATGGTGATGAGTCACATACCAGGATGAAACAGCCGTCCACTGTTACGAGGTTTCTATAATGCTAGTCTAACAATGATCAACAATCTTCACAATCCTTTCATGCAAATATTCTTTGTTTGTGTATTATTTTAAATGTGTACTATTTGTCACGTGAATTAGTTGCAAACTTATCTCCTCCAACAAACCAGAGGAGGAAATCAGGAATAAGCGGTGGAAGTGGATAGGACACACACTGTGAAAAGCACCCAACTGCCTCCACGAGACAAGCGCGCACATGGAACCCAAAAGGGAAAAGGAAAAGAGGAAGGCCAAGGAATACATTACGCCGAGAAATAGAGAAAGATATGAGAGGCATGAATAAACATCGGACAGAACTGGAGAGGGAAGCCCAGGACAGAGTTGGTTGGAGAAAACTGGTGAGCGGCCTATGCTTCATTAGGGGGTAACAGGTGAAAGTAAGTAAGTAAGTTATCTCAACGAATAGTTGTTGATTACATGATTACATTGGGTTTTGTAAGAATCTAATTTATCTTGTAAATTTATGCATCCATGTGACCCAGTAATCAGCTCATACAGTTGTTAGTAGTTTAAATTCATGCCATCTTTAACCCAATGATGTTTTTTTTCGCTTGACAATTCTCTTATTATTCATCCATCCAATTTATTATAAAATACAAAGGGAAAAATATTTTCAATTACCTGCTAGGATCTCCAGCAAGTTTATCAATACATGGTCGAACAGTGGATTCGAACTCTGCTGAATCAGTAATCATTCGTCCTAATTCTACTAACGGTTGTAAACAAGCTGCTCGAACAACACGTTGATTATCAGAAACTAAACTGAAATATACGAAGAGAAAAAAGAACATATATCGAATATTATAAACAAAATGTGAAAATATGTAAACTTCTCTTTGTAGCAGACGTTATCAAGTCAATTACAATATACTCCCGACGAGAAAAAATGATGTAAACAATCGGCATGTGTGTCTGTATATATATATATATATATATATATATATATATATATATATATGCGTTTCAGTCAGTCAGCAACAAAGTAGAACTTCTTACGTACATCAATTCAGATTGCTATACCACATTTACATAGAGAAGCAATTGTTTGCTGACTAAAGGACGAGTGTACTGTGCAGTGGTTACTTTATGGATGTGAAACATGGCCAGTGAGAGTAGAAGATATTCGTACGTTACTGGTTTTCGATCATAGGTGTCTTCGAAGCATTGCTCGTATATCATGGGACAACCGAGTGAGCAACGCTGTTATTAGGAATCGGGTACTAGGTAAGAATGGCAGATCAATAGACGCAGTAGTGACACTTCATCAGTTGAGGTGGTTGGGATATGTGTTACGTAAGCCCAACCACCGACTGCCTCGTCGAACTTTGTTTTGTAGTGTAGGAATAGGTTGGAAGAAAGTTAGGGGCGGCCAAACCAAAACATGGCACAAATCCATGAAATCATTGACAAGTGGACTTAGCCATGTCGGTAACTGTCGACTACTTGGTTGGGATCCGCGAGATGATAATAATCGATGGTTAGAGACCTTGAATGACATGGCTCAGAATCGTTTGCAATGACTTCCGGTGCATTTATTCTTTGTGTTCTCTCAATTCCTAATCTTCTGCATTCTTCAATCTCTATAGTTTTGACTTTCTAAACTTTTCTCACTGAATCATACTTCTTGAATAATATCTTCTAATCCTAACCTCTCCGATTACTTCTAATACCTTTACTACCTCTTCTACTATTGGATTTGAATTGACAATTACATCTCTGTGCTGATGTGGTATGGCGACATGAACTGATGTACTTACGTACGAAGTTCTACGTTGCATCTGACTGACTAAATTGTCAATTAAAATTACATAGTAGTAGAGGTAGTAAAGGTATTAGTCGTAATTGGAGAGATTAGGGTTCGAGGATATTATTCAAGAAGTATAATTCGGTGATATAAACTCAATAAGAGAAAGATAAAGGTGATGAGGAATTCAGAAGATTAGGATTTAAGCGAAGACAAAGAATCGAGGCACCTGTATCATTTCAAACGATTTTGAGCCATGTCGTTTAAGGTCTCTAATGATTGGTTGCTATCGTCATCATGTTATCATCACGTTACTATCTACGTCACAAAACACTGCTCGTCGAGGCAGTCGGTATTCGGGCACATGAAACACAATGTCCCAACCGCCTTAAATGATGAACTTTCACTACTTCATCTATTGATTTGCCATCCCTACCTAGTATGTGTTTCCTAACAACAGCACTGCTTACTCGAAAGTCCCAAATCTAACAGTGTTTGGATTCTGTTAGGATATTCACCAAATATCCTAAGAATACTATTTTTAGAAGTACAATCCTATTCGTCGATTTCTATAGGCCGAAATTATGATCGTTTTAACTGTCAAAGTCAAATACTTCAATGTTGCCTCTTACTGGTCATCTGGACTGTCAATGTCATTCAAATATTCTTTTCTATTGGTCGTCCTAAACTGTCAATGTCACAGACTTTGATGCTGTTTGCTATTCGACCAAAATATATAAATACGCACTATCTGAAAGACTTAATAATTCCATTTCTCCTGCCTACCTCTCTTCTGTATTCGACCCAATAAACAACTGCATCCCACGGTGTTGCGTTCTGATATATAGGAGATTTCGAAATAGCATTTTGGGTCGTATTGGGATATTTGAATTGGACGCCGCTAGGACTGAATAGCTATACGTAGCAGATTCATTTCAACTCGACATATAAATAAATGAAGATAATTTTTTAAACTACGTTACACTACTTTATATCCCCCTTAGCACATTATAGCAGGTCAAGAAATCATTACCGAACTGCATATATTCTCTGGTGACACACCAAATATCAGTGAAAAACATTCATATGAATAACATGGAAGCAGAGATAAATATAATTTACATGGTCAACAAGGCAGGCAAAGACCCCCTGTATTCACTCTCCGCATTGAGTAAAGTTTCGTATTCACATTACGCGAAGTATAAAAACAACTACAAAGATATTAGTGGTCAAGCATGCAACTTTTTAATGGTTCTAGCTCAGAACAATTAACTTACACAAATGTTGAGCATAAGTGAAAAGACTATATGTAACTATTACCGCGAATCGAGCTGCTACTTGGACACGTGGTGGTCGGGCTTGCCTATCGTGATGACCACAACCGAGGCTATATTGGACTGGAACATATGTTCCTGTAGGCTCTACCATGCTAGGCAGGTCGATTGGAGAACGATGAGTACCTAAAAGCAGCTAACTCAAGGTCTGAGGGCAAAGTCGTACTGCTGACTGACTGGAGGGGTGTGACAGCAGTAAGGTGTTTCCATCGGGCAACTAGCATCTGCAGAGATGCTGCCTTCCCATCACAAGGAAGGAAAGGGTTAGAAAAGGTGGACCCTAAAAATGTCACACTTCGCCCTACCTCACGGATTTCGGTCTCCGGTGGTAAGGCTTTTTGAAGAACGGAGCTAATATTTTACAAAGCCGTGTGTGATTGGCCTCAAGCAGTTGTCCCTTCGGCTGTGCGGTCACGCTCTCAGGTCTCTAAGACCAACGCCAATCCAATTTCCATTTCAAGAAACACCTTTCCACTGTGGGAAGCCGGGAAGTGACAACCGCCCTGATACCCATAACAGCATATGAGACTGATCTTTAAACTTGGATGCTATATAAACGACTGAGATTCCAACGTTTCTCTGAACATTTAAACAAGATATATTGGTAGAATCAGCGAGCTTAAGTAATAAATGTATTACTGTAGTCAGGATTTGATTTTGACCAATTTGATCTCGTGTGCTGTTACGGGTATGAGGGCGATTGTCACTTCCCGGCTGCCCAAACCGTCGAAGGTTGTTTCTTCAGGGACCTGAAAAAGAAGATAGATTAGTGTTGGTCTTAACGACCTGGGAGCGTGACCGCAGAGTCCAAGGGACAACTGCTTTAGGTCGGTCACGCACGGCCTTTTGATGAAAGGTTGTTTTTAGTATTAGCTCCGCTCTTGAATGCTCTTATTGGACACCCTTACCGACGGAGACGGAAATCCGTGAGGTAGGGTGAGGTGTGACAGGTTTAGGGTCAAACTCTTCTAACCCTTCCTTCCTTGTGAGAAGGCTGCATCACTGCAGATGCTGGTTGTCCGAGGGAAACACCTTACTGCTGTCACACCATTCTACAGTCAGTCAGCAGTACGACTTCGCCCTCAGACCTTGGGTAGCTGCTTTTAGTCTCATCATTCTCCAATCGACCTGCCTGGCATGGTAGAACCTTCAGGAACATATGTTCTAGCCAATATAGCTCGGTTGGGTCATCACGATAGGCAAGCCCGACCACCACGTCAAGGTAGCAGCTAATATGTATATATTCTGAATCAAAATGCGTAGTAACAGCATATTACGGCGAGAAAGTCATAAACATCTACACAAAAAATATCTTTTTAAATACTATCATGACCGAATGAGCTAATTTTACAGTTAAGGTAATTAATTGTAAAACAGTAAAACTTATCATCATATATCTGTGAAAAGAGAATAACACATTGAGACAAACCTTGCAAGAAGTAGACCTAGTTCTGATTTTAATTCTGGACCAAAATGTTTTGCAAGAGGAACAAGTTGTTGAACAGCAGCAGCACGAACCAATGGAACTTCATCTTCACTATCAGCTAGATGAAAAAGTCGGCTAAAAAAAATTATAAAAAAAGGACAAGGAAATTGACAGCAGAACAGCAGAACAAAAATAAATTTGTATACTAGAAATATATATATATATATATATATATATATATATATATATCAAAGTTAAGTGAACTCTGACGAATTCTAAACCTATTATATGTTAACTAAAAATACAAGCAGTGCTAAGTTCACAAAACTCAGTCAGTCAGTCAGTCAGATGCAACGTAGAACTTCGTACGTAAGTACATCAGTTCAGGTTGCCATACCACATTACCACGCACAGAGATGTAATTGTCAATTCTAATCCAATAGTAGAAGAGTTAGTAAGGGTATTATAAGTAATCGGAGAGGTTACGATTAGAAGATATTATTCAAGGAGTATGATTAAATGAGAAAAGTTTAGAAAGTCAAAATCCAGAATATTAGGATTTGAGAGAACACAAAGAATAAATGCACCGGAAGTCATTGCAAACGATTTTGAGCCATGTCATTCAAGGTCTCTAACCATTGATGACTTTCGTCTCGCGGACCCCAACCAGGTAGTCTACATCTACCAACATGACTCAGTCCACTTGTCACTGACTTCATGGATTTCTGCCATGTTTTGGTTTGGCTGCCTCTAACTTTCTTCCAACCTACTCCTTCACTACAAAACATAGCTAGTCGAGGCAGTCGGTGGTTAGGCATACGTGACACATGTCCCAACCACCTTAATTGATGAAGTTTCATTTCTTCATCTATTGATCTGCCATTCTTACCTATTACTCGTTTCCTAACAACAGGATTGCTTATACGGTTGTCCCACGGTATACGAGCAATGCTTCGGAGACTTCGATGATCGAAAACCAGTAACCTACGAATATCTTCTACTCTCACTGGTCATGTTTCACAGCCATAAAGTAAGACAGAGCGAACTACTGCACAGTACACTCGTCCTGTAGTCAGCAAAGGGATATCTAGCCTACGCCATAAGTGACGCATGTTCGCAAAAGCCAAACAGGCCTTTTATATACGTGCTGAGATTTCGTCATTCATCAGCCCATCGGCACTGATGAGACTCCTCAGGTAACTGAAGCGGTCTACACGTTCGACTACTTCACTCCCTATCACTAGTTCACAAAACTACTTAGGATATGATGCGATTAAATAAAAGTAGAAGTTAATATCTAACCAAATCAAAGAAAAACTATTCTGTAAACTAGTGAACAATTGTAATCTATAGACTATAGAACTTTGCTGTTGAACAGACCATCTTCTGGTCACAAACACAAACACGTAGTAAGGCGGCGACCCGACCGAAGCTGCTACCTTGACGTGGTGGTCGGGGCTTGACTATCGTGATGACCCAACCGAGCTATACTGGCTGGAACACATGTTCCTGCAGGTTCCCATGCCAGGCAGGTCGATTGGAGAACGATGAGACTAAAAGCAGCTACCCAAGGTCTGAGGGCGAAGTCGTACTGCTGACTGCAGAGGGGTGTGACAGCAGTAAGGTGTTTCCTCGGACAACCAGCTTCTGCAGCGATGCTGCCTTCTCACAAGGAAGGAAGGGTTAGAAAAGGTCGGCCCTAAAAATGTCACACCTCCCCTACCTCACGGATTTCCGTCTCCTTGGGTAAGGTGCCCACTAAGGGCCTTTAAGAACGGAGCTAATCTCTAAATACCTCTCATAAAAAGGCCGTGCGTGACCGGCCTCAAGCAGTTGTCCCTTGGACTCTGCGGTCACGCACCAACACTAATCCATCTTCCTTTTCAGGTTCGTCAAGAAACAACCTTCCACGGTGTGGGCAGCCGGGAAGTGATAACCGCCCTCATACCCGTAACAGCACACGAGACAAAATTGTTCAAAATCAAATCCTTCCTACATTCCCTAATACCTCTCTTATCTCCACAACTAACTCTTCTCACATTCATTTATTACAGTGCACAGCTAATGCAAACGATGCGAGTTTGCGAAACGTCGTTCCTGGTCTCCTTAAACCCCGTTCCAAACTACATGTTGGAGCATTCAATGTCCGTACATTGTGTCAAATAGGGCAACAGGCATCATTAGCTAGGACTTTAGAATCTCGTTTCATCGATGTGTGCTGCGTCTCGGAAACGCGCATACAGGATCCGAGTAGCATCACTCATTTGACCTCACCATGTCAAGATAAAGAAGCAGCTCGATTTACCCTTCGTGTATCCGGTAGCCCTGATGCTGCTTCTAAGGGCCTCGCCGGTGTAGGTATAGCATTGAGTCGTAGGGCAGAACAATCTCTCCTTGACTGGATCCCTGTAGATAGTCGCTTGTGGCCGTCACACAGTGGCACGTGAATCTCTCAGGGACGATATGGGTGGAGAGGGCCACTCATCTCTTAGGGTAAAAAAGGGTTTCATCCACCACAACACAACCACCACAACACACAACCCCACACACACCAAAACATCATACCACACCCCAAGCACACACACCACCCCACCCCACAACAACACACAACATCACAACACACACAACCCACAACCAAACGAGAGCACAAGGAGGAAACTAACAAGGATTCATAGCTGATCACAACTGCTTGCGTGTGTCATTACAGCAGCAAAAGAGACTACATCTACACAGGGCAATCACAAGCTACAAGGGAATTGTTACTTAAACTAACAGCTCACGACTCAATGCTATACCTACACCGGCGAGGCCCTTAGAAGCAGCATCAGGGCTACCGGATACACGAAGGGTAAATCGAGCTGCTTCTTTATCTTGACATGGTGAGGTCAAATGAGTGATGCCTACTCGGATCCTGTATGCGCGTTTCCGAGACGCAGCACACATCGATGAAACGAGATTCTAAAGTCCTAGCTAATGATGCCTGTTGCCCTATTTGACACAATGTCCGGACATTGAATGCTCCAACATGTAGTTTGGAACGGGGTTTAAGGAGACCAGGAACGACGTTTCGCAAACTCGCATCGTTTGCATTAGCTGTGCACTGTAATAAAGGAATGTGAGAAGAGTTAGTTGTGGAGATAAGAGAGGTATTAGGGAATGTAGGAAGGATTTGATTTTGAACAATTTTGTCTCGTGTGCTGTTACGGGTATGAGGGCGGTTATCACTTCCCGGCTGCCGACACCGTGGAAGGTTGTTTCTTGACGAACCTGAAAAGGAAGATGGATTAGTGTTGGTGCGTGACCGCAGAGTCCAAGGGACAACTGCTTGAGGCCGGTCACGCACGGCCTTTTTATGAGAGGTATTTAGAGGATTAGCGCCGTTCTTAAAGGCCCTTAGTGGGCACCCTTACCCAAGGAGACGGAAATCCGTGAGGTGGGGGAGGTGTGACATTTTTAGGGCCGACCTTTTCTAACCCTTCCTTCCTTGTGAGAAGGCAGCATCGCTGCAGATGCTGGTTGTCCGAGGGAAACACCTTACTGCTGTCACACCCCTCTGCAGTCAGCAGTACGACTTCGCCCTCAGACCTTGGGTAGCTGCTTTTAGTCTCATCGTTCTCTAATCGACCTGCCTGGCATGGTAGAACCTGCAGGAACATGTGTTCCAGCCAATATAGCTCGGTTGTGTCATCACGATAGGCAAGCCCGACCACCACGTCAAGGTAGCAGCTTCGGTCGGGTCGCCGCCTTACTACGTGTTTGTGTTTGTGACCAGAAGATGGTCTGTTCAACAGCAAAGTTCTATAGTCTATAGATTACAATTGTTCACTAGTTTACAGAATAGTTTTTCTTTGATTTGGTTAGATATTAACTTCTACTTTTATTTAATCGCATCATATCCTAAGTAGTTTTGTGAACTAGTGATAGGGAGTGAAGTAGTCGAACGTGTAGACCGCTTCAGTTACCTGAGGAGTCTCATCAGTGCCGATGGCCTGGTGACTGACGAAATCTCAGCACGGATACAGAAGGCTCGATTGGATTTTGCCAACCTGCGTCACTTATGGCGTAGGCGAGATATCCGTTTGCTGACTACAGGACGAGTGTACTGTGCAGTAGTTCTCTCTGTCTTACTTTATGCCTGTGAAACATGGCCAGTGAGAGTAGAAGATATTCGTAGGTTACTGGTTTTCGATCATCGAAGTCTCCGAAGCATTGCTCGTATACCGTGGGACAACCGTATAAGCAATCCTGTTGTTAGGAAACGAGTAATAGGTAAGAATGGCAGATCAATAGATGAAGAAATGAAACTTCATCAATTAAGGTGGTTGGGACATGTGTCACGTATGCCTAACCACCGACTGCCTCGACTAGCTATGTTTTGTAGTGAAGGAGTAGGTTGGAAGAAAGTTAGAGGCAGCCAAACCAAAACATGGCAGAAATCCATGAAGTCATTGACAAGTGGACTGAGTCATGTTGGTAGATGTAGACTACCTGGTTGGGGTTCGCGAGACGAAAGTAATCAATGGTTAGAGACCTTGAATGACATGGCTCAAAATCGTTTGCAATGACTTCCGGTGCATTTATTCTTTGTGTTCTCTCAAATCCTAATATTCTGGATTTTGACTTTCTAAACTTTTCTCATTTAATCATACTCCTTGAATAATATCTTCTAATCGTAACCTCTCCGATTACTTATAATACCCTTACTAACTCTTCTACTATTGGATTAGAATTGACAATTACATCTCTGTGCGTGGTAATGTGGTATGGCAACCTGAACTGATGTACTTACGTACGAAGTTCTACGTTGCATCTGACTGACTGACTGACTGAGTTTTGTGAACTTAGCACTGCTTGTATTTTTAGTTAACATATAATAGGTTTAGAATTCGTCAGAGTTCACTTAACTTTGATATATATATATATATATATATATATATATATATATATATTTCTAGTATACAAATTTATTTTTGTTCTGCTGTTCTGCTGTCAATTTCCTTGTCCTTTTTTTATAATTTTTTTTAGCCGACTTTTTCATCTAGCTGATAGTGAAGATGAAGTTCCATTGGTTCGTGCTGCTGCTGTTCAACAACTTGTTCCTCTTGCAAAACATTTTGGTCCAGAATTAAAATCAGAACTAGGTCTACTTCTTGCAAGGTTTGTCTCAATGTGTTATTCTCTTTTCACAGATATATGATGATAAGTTTTACTGTTTTACAATTAATTACCTTAACTGTAAAATTAGCTCATTCGGTCATGATAGTATTTAAAAAGATATTTTTTGTGTAGATGTTTATGACTTTCTCGCCGTAATATGCTGTTACTACGCATTTTGATTCAGAATATATACATATTAGCTGCTACCTTGACGTGGTGGTCGGGCTTGCCTATCGTGATGACCCAACCGAGCTATATTGGCTGGAACATATGTTCCTGAAGGTTCTACCATGCCAGGCAGGTCGATTGGAGAATGATGAGACTAAAAGCAGCTACCCAAGGTCTGAGGGCGAAGTCGTACTGCTGACTGACTGTAGAATGGTGTGACAGCAGTAAGGTGTTTCCCTCGGACAACCAGCATCTGCAGTGATGCAGCCTTCTCACAAGGAAGGAAGGGTTAGAAGAGTTTGACCCTAAACCTGTCACACCTCACCCTACCTCACGGATTTCCGTCTCCGTCGGTAAGGGTGTCCAATAAGAGCATTCAAGAGCGGAGCTAATACTAAAAACAACCTTTCATCAAAAGGCCGTGCGTGACCGACCTAAAGCAGTTGTCCCTTGGACTCTGCGGTCACGCTCCCAGGTCGTTAAGACCAACACTAATCTATCTTCTTTTTCAGGTCCCTGAAGAAACAACCTTCGACGGTTTGGGCAGCCGGGAAGTGACAATCGCCCTCATACCCGTAACAGCACACGAGATCAAATTGGTCAAAATCAAATCCTGACTACAGTAATACATTTATTACTTAAGCTCGCTGATTCTACCAATATATCTTGTTTAAATGTTCAGAGAAACGTTGGAATCTCAGTCGTTTATATAGCATCCAAGTTTAAAGATCAGTCTCATATGCTGTTATGGGTATCAGGGCGGTTGTCACTTCCCGGCTTCCCACAGTGGAAAGGTGTTTCTTGAAATGGAAATTGGATTGGCGTTGGTCTTAGAGACCTGAGAGCGTGACCGCACAGCCGAAGGGACAACTGCTTGAGGCCAATCACACACGGCTTTGTAAAATATTAGCTCCGTTCTTCAAAAAGCCTTACCACCGGAGACCGAAATCCGTGAGGTAGGGCGAAGTGTGACATTTTTAGGGTCCACCTTTTCTAACCCTTTCCTTCCTTGTGATGGGAAGGCAGCATCTCTGCAGATGCTAGTTGCCCGATGGAAACACCTTACTGCTGTCACACCCCTCCAGTCAGTCAGCAGTACGACTTTGCCCTCAGACCTTGAGTAGCTGCTTTTAGTCTCATCGTTCTCCAATCGACCTGCCTGGCATGGTAGAGCCTACAGGAACATATGTTCCAGCCAATATAGCTCGGTTGTGTCATCACGATAGGCAAGCCCGACCACCACGTGTCAAGGTAGCAGCTACGATCGCGGTAATAGTTACATATAGTCTTTTCACTTATGCTCAACATTTGTGTAAGTTAATTGTTCTGAGCTAGAACCATTAAAAAGTTGCATGCTTGACCACTAATATCTTTGTAGTTGTTTTTATACTTCGCGTAATGTGAATACGAAACTTTACTCAATGCGGAGAGTGAATACAGGGGGTCTTTGCCTGCCTTGTTGACCATGTAAATTATATTTATCTCTGCTTCCATGTTATTCATATGAATGTTTTTCACTGATATTTGGTGTGTCACCAGAGAATATATGCAGTTCGGTAATGATTTCTTGACCTGCTATAATGTGCTAAGGGGGATATAAAGTAGTGTAACGTAGTTTAAAAAATTATCTTCATTTATTTATATGTCGAGTTGAAATGAATCTGCTACGTATAGCTATTCAGTCCTAGCGGCGTCCAATTCAAATATCCCAATACGACCCAAAATGCTATTTCGAAATCTCCTATATATCAGAACGCAACACCGTGGGATGCAGTTGTTTATTGGGTCGAATACAGAAGAGAGGTAGGCAGGAGAAATGGAATTATTAAGTCTTTCAGATAGTGCGTATTTATATATTTTGGTCGAATAGCAAACAGCATCAAAGTCTGTGACATTGACAGTTTAGGACGACCAATAGGAAAGAACATTTGAATGACATTGACAGTCCAGATGACCAATAAGAGGCAACATTGAAGTATTTGACTTTGACAGTTAGAACGATCATAATTTCGGCCAATCGAAATCGACCAATAGGATTGTACTTCTAAAAATAGTATTCTTAGGATATTCGGTGAATATCCTAACAGAATCCAAACACTGTTAGATTTGGGACTTTCGAGTAAGCAGTGCTGTTGTTAGGAAACACATACTAGGTAGGGATGGCAAATCAATAGATGAAGTAGTGAAAGTTCATCATTTAAGGCGGTTGGGACATTGTGTTTCATGTGCCCGAATACCGACTGCCTCGACGAGCAGTGTTTTGTGACGTAGATAGTAACGTGATGATAACATGATGACGATAGCAACCAATCATTAGAGACCTTAAACGACATGGCTCAAAATCGTTTGAAATGATACAGGTGCCTCGATTCTTTGTCTTCGCTTAAATCCTAATCTTCTGAATTCCTCATCACCTTTATCTTTCTCTTATTGAGTTTATATCACCGAATTATACTTCTTGAATAATATCCTCGAACCCTAATCTCTCCAATTACGACTAATACCTTTACTACCTCTACTACTATGTAATTTTAATTGACAATTTAGTCAGTCAGATGCAACGTAGAACTTCGTACGTAAGTACATCAGTTCATGTCGCCATACCACATCAGCACAGAGATGTAATTGTCAATTCAAATCCAATAGTAGAAGAGGTAGTAAAGGTATTAGAAGTAATCGGAGAGGTTAGGATTAGAAGATATTATTCAAGAAGTATGATTCAGTGAGAAAAGTTTAGAAAGTCAAAACTATAGAGATTGAAGAATGCAGAAGATTAGGAATTGAGAGAACACAAAGAATAAATGCACCGGAAGTCATTGCAAACGATTCTGAGCCATGTCATTCAAGGTCTCTAACCATCGATTATTATCATCTCGCGGATCCCAACCAAGTAGTCGACAGTTACCGACATGGCTAAGTCCACTTGTCAATGATTTCATGGATTTGTGCCATGTTTTGGTTTGGCCGCCCCTAACTTTCTTCCAACCTATTCCTACACTACAAAACAAAGTTCGACGAGGCAGTCGGTGGTTGGGCTTACGTAACACATATCCCAACCACCTCAACTGATGAAGTGTCACTACTGCGTCTATTGATCTGCCATTCTTACCTAGTACCCGATTCCTAATAACAGCGTTGCTCACTCGGTTGTCCCATGATATACGAGCAATGCTTCGAAGACACCTATGATCGAAAACCAGTAACGTACGAATATCTTCTACTCTCACTGGCCATGTTTCACATCCATAAAGTAACCACTGCACAGTACACTCGTCCTTTAGTCAGCAAACAATTGCTTCTCTATGTAAATGTGGTATAGCAATCTGAATTGATGTACGTAAGAAGTTCTACTTTGTTGCTGACTGACTGAAACGCATATATATATATATATATATATATATATATATATATATATATATACAGACACACATGCCGATTGTTTACATCATTTTTTCTCGTCGGGAGTATATTGTAATTGACTTGATAACGTCTGCTACAAAGAGAAGTTTACATATTTTCACATTTTGTTTATAATATTCGATATATGTTCTTTTTTCTCTTCGTATATTTCAGTTTAGTTTCTGATAATCAACGTGTTGTTCGAGCAGCTTGTTTACAACCGTTAGTAGAATTAGGACGAATGATTACTGATTCAGCAGAGTTCGAATCCACTGTTCGACCATGTATTGATAAACTTGCTGGAGATCCTAGCAGGTAATTGAAAATATTTTTCCCTTTGTATTTTATAATAAATTGGATGGATGAATAATAAGAGAATTGTCAAGCGAAAAAAAACATCATTGGGTTAAAGATGGCATGAATTTAAACTACTAACAACTGTATGAGCTGATTACTGGGTCACATGGATGCATAAATTTACAAGATAAATTAGATTCTTACAAAACCCAATGTAATCATGTAATCAACAACTATTCGTTGAGATAACTTACTTACTTACTTTCACCTGTTACCCCCTAATGAAGCATAGGCCGCTCACCAGTTTTCTCCAACCAACTCTGTCCTGGGCTTCCCTCTCCAGTTCTGTCCGATGTTTATTCATGCCTCTCATATCTTTCTCTATTTCTCGGCGTAATGTATTCCTTGGCCTTCCTCTTTTCCTTTTGCCTTGAGGTTTCCATGTGAGGGCTTGTCTCGTGAGGCAGTTGGGTGCTTTTCACAGTGTGTGTCCTATCCACTTCCACCGCTTATTCCTGATTTCCTCCTCTGGTTTGTTGGAGGAGATAAGTTTACATCTAATTCACATGATAAATAGTACACATTTAAAATAATACACAAACAAAGAATATTTACATGAAAGGGTTGTGAAGATTGTTGATCATTGTTAGACTAGCATTACAGAAACCTCGTAGCAGTGGGCGGCCGTTTCATCCTGGTATGTGACTCATCACCATTGCGCAACCACGACTCCCGCACAATCTCTACAACCCTTTTAATGTAAATTATCATGTGCTCATAAGTGACTAGCTCCGTGAGGAAGTTTCTCCGAGTTCTAGTGGGAAGATGTGACCAGTGAAGTTCAACCCTGTTCAGGTGTAAAACAATGCTGACCGGAGACAGTAGATGAGGTTGCGCAAGACCTTGGATTGATCGAAGTTAGACACTAACATCGTTACATGCCGGCTCAGTGATCCAGAGGTTAGGCGTTCGCGCGTAGGACCTAGGTTCGAATCTTGCGAGTCACAGAAGCCGTGGATGCGCGCTGCTGTTTGCTAACGAGTCTCATACCATGATAAAACAGCCATCATTTTGATGCTTCTAGGTTTCTCTAATGCCGATTTAACATTGACCGATTCATGATTCTGAAAAAAAGAAAATTTTACACCCTGAAATTTATTACCATAGTTTTCATTTGTTTTCAGCATACTTTACTGACTGTTTATAAATTCATAATTATTGTATATTATTACAAAGCCCCTAAAATAAGAGACACATAAATAAAATGTTAGACCACCATCAATGGTGGTCTAACATTGATCGATTCATGGTTTCAAAAAATGTGTAACTTAACAATCTTCACAACAACCCCGTAATGCAAATTACCTGTGCTCACTAGTGACTAGCTAGCTTCGTGAGGAATCTTCTAGTTCTAGTGGGAAGACGTGACCAGTGAAGTTCAACCTTTTCGAGTGTAGACAGTAACTACCGAAGACTGTGTATGAGGTTGCACAACTCCATGAATTGATCACGTTAGACATTAACACCGTTAGATACCGGCTTAGTGGTCCGATGGGTTAGGCGTTCCCGCGCAGGCCCTGGATTAGAATCTGGCTAGTCACGGTAACCGTGGATGCTCGCTGCTGCTTTCTGATGAGTCTCGTTTTAGTGCTTGTAGGTTTCTCTAATGCCGATTTAACATTGACTGATTCTGAAAAAAGAAAATTTTGCACCCTGAAATTTATTTCCCTAATTTTCATTTTGTTTTCAGCATACTTTACTGACTGTTTATCAATTCATAATTATTGTATATTACAAAGCCCCTAAAATAAGCGAATTAGATAATGTTGTTATCTATGAAAAAACTAGTGAACTTTTGTGTTCATTAAAATGCCTTTCATTTATCTAAATTATGTCATTTATAAAAAATTTTTAAGGTCAATCAATAATTATTTATTTAAGGAGAAATAAAGAGGGATAGGAAAATTTTTGTTTTCATGAATGCCGTAGGATGGGGGGATCTTATGAAATGGTGAAGATTATTATGATCAGTGTAATAATGATTAGAAATAATCTGAAGAAAAAAGGAGAAAGCTACTTTTCGTCGAATTATGTACACAAAAGTTCAAATTCATGCACACACTGTACATATCAGGCTATATAGTTAGCTAGTTGTACAACAATTGAAATAAACAGTGTAGAAAAATCAAATTAGGTGGTATGTTACGTTATTGAGGCGGAGGGAAATAGGAGGAGAAGGGTTTGATCAAACACAAACCGTAGCTCCGGAATGGGGTGTCTCTCATCCGATAGAGAAACTGATAACATGATAACATGAACAAATGTGTACTATTGTAAATTGATTGAAGCTAGACATTAAAATTGTTCGATGCGCTGTCTCAGTCATCTGGTCAGACAGACAGATACAACGCAGAACTTCGTACGTAAGTACATCAGTTCAGGTTGCCATACCACATTAGAACAGAGACTCAACTGTCAGTTCAAATCCAAGAGTGATAGCGATAGTAGAATTATTAGCTGCAATGGAGAAGATTTAGGAGCGAAGATATGACTCGAAAAGTAAAATTCAGTAAGATAAATTTAGAAAGAGAAATATAGAGATTATGAGGAATTCAGAAGGTCGGAGTTGGAGTGAACACAAAGAGTGGATGCACCTGCGCCATTGCAAACGATTCTGAGCCATGTCGTTCAAGATCTCTAACCATTGGTGACTTTCGTCTCACAGACCCCAACCAGATAGCCTACATCTACCAACCTGACAGTGACTTCATGGATTTTTTCCATGTTTTGGTTTGGCCACCCCTAGCTTTCTTCCAACCTACTCCTACACCACAAAGCATATCTCGTCACGGCAGTCGGTGGTTAGGCATACGTAACATATGTCCCAACCACCTCAACTGATGAATTTTCACCACTTTTTGCGGGATGAGCTCGCTAACCCCTCACCTAACCCTGCTTCTTCATCCGGGCTTGATACCCCAGCAATAGCCCCAGAGGGGCTCCAGTAACGTATGCAATCGTGACAAAATTTTCGTAGTTGCAGTGAGAAGATGTCACCAATGGAGTTCAACTCTGTCGAGTTTATGCAGCAACTACCAAAGACAATGTGTGAGGTTGCAGAAAAAACCCTTAGATTGATCAGACTCAGACACTAACACCGTTGGATGATGGCTCAGTGAATCAGAGGTTAGTCGTTCGTGCGCAAGACCGAAGGTGCTGCAAGGTCGTGGATGCGTAACGGCCATCATTCAGTGCTTCCAGGTTTCTAATGGTGGTCTAAAAACGTTTCACATTCATTATTTCGATATTTAAAATAAAACTTGTGCTCAAATTTTTTAAACGGGGTTTTTATCTGTTTGATAACCAACCATCCATGTTTAATAATGCCTATTTTCGTTGTTAATAAAAAATAGCATGTTCCCTGTATAATTCTGTATGATAATTGGAGCAATAACACAATAACCTTCTGTTACGCCTGCACGTAAACCCGTCATCTTGATATACTTGAACTATTACGAGTTTACCTAGTCGGAAACGAGAGCTAGGATCAGGTGACACGACATGTTACTCAATTCCGATTATCACAACCTCCATATTGAGTAAAAATAAAAAGACTTGATGTGAAGTAGAACCTGTATTTTACAAGCAGTTAGAAAGTACGAGGTCCGAGTCCAGAAGAGAATCAGGATCCTGGACTAGGGATCCGGGACCGAGCCCTGGTCCTGGTCGTGGTCCTAAAACGTTACAGATAATGTGTATTTATACATTTTGGTCGAATAAGAAACAGCATTGAATTCTGTGGCATTGACAGTTAAGACGACCAATACGAAGTAACATTTGAAATGACATTGATAGTCCGGATGACCAATAAGAGACAACATTGAAGTATTTGACTTTGACAGGTAAAACGACCATAGTTTTGACCAATAGAAATCGACCAATAGGATTTGACCAATAATTCTCTTAGGATGAATATCCGAACACCTTCAAATGTTCTGTTTTGTATTTTGCGTTGATCATATTATGAAAGTGTTGTTCTATTTGATGTGGAAATGCATTCTCTTCACTTGTGTGTACACTTTATGTGACAAATATTTAGAAACAATAATAACACTGGTTATGTGTAATTTTTATGCATTTATATGTACTGTCGTTTGTAAAAACCTTTGCGAACTTATTTTTTCTCATGCGTTATTATTATTATTATTTTTTGCGTTCTACAGAGATGTTAGACGAGCAATGGCATCCGTGATCACTAATCTTCAAACATTAGTTTGTAATCATAGTGGTGCTAATCGTTCACTGCATCAAATTATGTTAAATCTTCTTGAAGATAATGAAGTGGAGACGCGTAGAATCAGTGCTGGTCAATTGAAAGGTAATATATTGTGAATCTGTGTTATGTTTTACTTAGTTACATCATATCATCTTTGTATGTATGTGATTTGCTCGACTGTAGCTGTTAGCTTGACACATAGTGGTCGGGCTTGCCTATTGTGATGATCCGACTGAGCTATATTGGCTGGAACGTATGTTCCTGTAGATTCTACCGTGCCAGGCAGGTCGATTAAAGAACGATGAGACTTAAAGCAACAACTGAAGGTCTGAGGGTGTTGTAACGCTTTGCTTAGATAATTCCCAGCTAAATCCTATTGCTTAGTATTCTCTGACTACAATACACTGGACAAGTTCCCAAGAATCAAAACATGGAACAGGAAAGATTATATTCCAAGTAGCAAGGTTAAATGGAAATAAGAAGCCAAAAGTGATGGCGAAGGCGAAGGCCAAAAATAGATACAACGTTAGTTTATTTATAGCATTTACATGAGAAGCTTCTGGATAGAAATTCACGTGATCGACTGGATTAGATTTAACCAATGAGCACGCAGCTAACAGTACGAGAATATCCTACCCTGTTCTCCAAGATTCGATCAGGCGCTGATTGGATATAAAATTAGCCAATCAGCGCGCAGCAACGTAGTCATGCTTTAATATCATCTATGTCCGACTAACAGAGGGAGAAGTCGTACTGCTGACTGACTGCAGAGAAGCGTGACAGCAGTAAGGTGTTTCCTTTGGACAGCCAGCATCTGAAGAGATGCTGCCTTCTGATCACAAGAAAGGAGGGAGTTAGAAAAAGGTGGACCCTAAACATGTCACACCTCACTCTACTTCACGGATTTCCGTCTCCGGTGGTAAGGCTTTTTGAAGAGCGGAGCTAATATTTTACAAACTCCTTATAAGAAGCTGTGTGTGATCGGCCTCAAGCAGTCGTCCCTTGGACCAACGCTAATCCAATTTGCATAGTGTAGGCAGCCGGGAAGTGACAACAACCTTCATACCCATAACAGCACACAAAACCAAATCAGTCATCATTCAAAATGCATGTCAAATATACCCACTAATAATGCTTTGATATTGTTCTCATTTTGAAAGTAACTAACTAACTTTGCTTTCGCTTCCTTCATATTTCAATTGAATTGAATTGATTTTTGATTGACAACTTGACATCATGACATTTGTCTGTATATATACTATTGTTCGATATCTCTATCAGTCAGTTAGTCAGTCAGATGCAACGTAGAACTTCGTAAGTAAGTACATCAGTTCATGTTGCCATACCACATCAGCACACAGAGATGTAATTGTCAATTCAAATCCAATAGTAGAAGAGGTAGTAAGGGAATTAGAAGTAATCGGAGAGGTTAGGATTAGAAGATATTATTCAAGAAGTATGATTAAATGAGATAAGTTTAGAAAGTCAAAACTAGAGGTATTGAAGAATCCAGAAGATTAGGATTTGAGAGAACACAGAGAAAAAATGCACCGGCGCCATTGCAAACGATTTTGAGCGATGTCATTCAAGGTCTCTAACCATCGATTATTATCATCTCGCGGACCCCAACCAGGTAGTCGACAATTACTGACATGGCTAAGTCCACTTTTCAATGACTTCATGGATCTCTGCCATGTTTTGGTTTGGCCGCCCCTAACATTCTTCCAACCTACTCCTACACTACAAAACAAAGCTCGTCGCGGCAGCCGGTGGTTGGGCATACGCAGCACATGTCCCAACCACCTCAACTGATGAAGTGTCACTACTGCGTCTATTGATCTGCCATTCTTACCTAGCACCCGTTTCCTAATAACAGCGTTGCTCACTCGGATGTCCCATGATATACGAGCAATGCTTCGAAGACACCTATGATCGAAAACCAGTAACCTTAGAATATCTTCTACTCACATTGGCCATGTTTCACAGCCATAAAGTAAGACGGAGGGAACCACTGCACAGTACACTCATCCTTTAGTCAGCAAACGGATATCTCACCTACGCCATAAGTGACGCAGGTTGGCAAAATCCAATCGAGGCTTCTGTATCCGTGTTGAGATTTCGTCAGTCACCAGGCCATCGGCACTGATGAGACTCCTCAGGTAACTGAAGCGGTCTACACGTTCGACTACTTCACTCCCTATCACTAGTTCAGGTGCCGATGCAACCCAATCTTGAAGCAACATTTAGCATTTCGAGGAGGGAAAACCGCATCCCGAACATGCTTGGATTGTTGCTTAGGTTGGTCAGAAGACTCTGCACTTTGTCAGCGTCTTCACCAAGTAAGACTATGTCATCGGCATATTCTAAGTCAATAAGCGCGCCACCTTGTAGAAGGTCGAATCCTGAGAATTCAGACGAGAATAAGGTTTTTTCCATACACTTACTTTATGCTTCGATAGTCGTCAACTTTTTTTCTTGTAAAAAAATCTTTTTCCATTATTTTGATTATGTTTATTCGCTACACGTTTTTCTGTGCATAAATTCATGACAGATGTCATCTAGCTAACTAACTAGTTAGCTAGGTGTGATCATACTTTTGTTTGTATAGATAAATTCTATGTGTTCAATATGAAATTAGAGGGAGTATTATGAACTGTTTCTATTTTTGTAACCATGACAACATGCCCTACTTCCCTTGTATATATCTCTCTGTGTGTTTGTGTGTTTGTCATTATGATCGTTTGTCTTTTTTTAAGACAGAATAATGTGAATTAAAATCGAGTGTATCAATAAAGTTCAGCTTGTATGTGATGAATTTTATGTCATAATGTAAAAAATTTCCACAATTTTCATCGATCTCAATCTATTTTCAAACTTTCTGCTTACTGTGTGTGTGTGTGTGTGTGCATCACTGTTCACTGTCATCAATACGATTTTGTCTTAAAATTGCTTTCGCTTCCTCTTAGTTTAGTGAATATGAATTGTGGAAATTGGAACATTGTGGTGAAGTTTCATTCTCTCGGAGTTGGATGTTTTGGTGCTTTGGAGCTTTCATTGTTCTTCTAAACCTCTCTGAATTATTCGAATTTCTCCACGTATGAGACTCGCAGCTTATTCTGTTAACCGAAAACAGATTGAGTGAATTGAATTGACATTCTAGTGGTTTGTTATAAATCTGTACGAAAAACTTTGTTTAGAAAAATCATTCTTGTAGAGTGTTATAACGCTGCTACGTATAGTTATTCAGTCCTAGCGGCGTCCGATTCAAATATCACAATACGACCCAAAATGCTATTTCCAAATCTCTTAGATATCAGAACGCAACACCGTGGGATGAAGTTGTTTATTGGGTCGAATACAGAAGAGAGGTAGGCAGGAGAAACGGAATTATTAAGTCTTTCAGATAGTGCGTATTAAGGTCAAATAAGAAAGAGCATCAACGTCTGTGACATTGACAGTTTAGGACGACCAATAGAAAAGAACATTTGAATGACACTGACAGTCCAGATGACCAATAAGAGGCAACATTGAAGTATTTGACTTTGACGGTTAGAACGATCATAATTTTGACCAATAGAAATCGACTAATAGGACTGTACTTCTAAAAATAATATTCTTAGGATATTAGGTGAATATCCTAATATAGAGAAACTAAAGTTTCTTCGTTCTTTCTTGCACTAAGCTTTAACAAATATCAATAAGTAACTGATAGTCAGTCAGTCAATCAGCTGCAACTTTAAACTTTGTACGTATATCATTGCAAGTTGCCATATAACGCATTAGCACACGCAGTGATCGAATTGTCAATTCAAATCCCGAATTGATGATAGAGGTAGTGGTCAATATTAGCAGTAATCGAAAAGATTAGTGTTCGAAGATATTATTCAAGAAGTAAAATCCAGTGATATAAATTGAAAAAAAGGGAAAGATAAAGGTGATGAGGAATTCAGAAGATTAGAATTTGAGAGAACACAAAGACTGGATGCACCTGCTCCATTGCAAACGATTTTGAGCCATGTCATTCAGGCTCTCTAACCATCGATCACTATCGTCTCGCAGGCCCCAACCTACTAACATAACTCAGTCCACTTGTCACTGACTTCATGGATTTCTGTCATGTTTTGGTTTGGCCGCCCATAGCTTACGTCAAACCTATTCCTACACTGCAAAATATAGCTCGTCGAGGCAGTCGGTAGTTAAGCATACCGCAACACATATCCCAACCACCTCAACTGATGAAGTTTCACTACTTCATCAATTGAAGTTCCATTCTTACCTAGTACTGCTTTACCACCATTAGAAACCTGGAAGCACTGGACGGCCGTTTCGCACATCCACGCGCATCCACGGTTCCTGCACCCTGCAGGATTCGAACCCAGGACCTTCGGTATTGTAGGCGAACGCCTAACCATTGGACCACTGAGCCGGTATCTAACGGTGTTAATGTCTAACTTGATCAATTCATGGAGTTGCGCAACCTCACACACAGTCTTCGGTAGTCACTGTCTACTGCCGAACAGGTTGAACTTGACTAGTCACGTCCTCCCACTAGAACTCGGAGAAGATTCCTGACGAAGCTAGTCACTAGTGAGCACAGGTAATTTGCATTACGGGGTTGTTGTGAAGATTGTTAAGTTACACATTTTTTTTGAAACCATGAATCGATCAATGTTTGACCACCATTAGAAACCTGGAAGCAGGAGTTCCATACCAGGACGAAACAGCCGTCATTCAGTGCTTCCAGGTTTCTAATAGTGGTCTAACATTGATCGATTCATGGTTTCAAATAAAACTTAACAATCTTCACAACAACCCCGTAATATATATAAACATCTTTTTGCATTTCGATTGTTTGTACTCATGTAGTATAACAAATTGAACTGATGTACGTTGTAACTGATTGCATTCCATAGCAAGCAACCTGCTTTACAATTTTACATTACTAAGAGAATATTTATCTGTCTGCTAAATATACAAACCAGGAATAAGGAAGTCCATGTAGTAGGGAAAGCTGTTTGTTAGTCAACAATTTATCACGACTTACTTACACCTGTTACCCTATAATGGAGCGCGCATAGGCCACCAACCAGCAAATTATTTTCCTGGTTAGCGAGTTGAATTTCTTCGGTATCCCGTAGTAGGTAACCCGTATGCTCAAACCTTTCTCCTTTTTGTTCGATTTTGTCGATATCGGTAGTAGGTGGTGGAGTTTTTGAATTCTTGTCTGTTAATCAAAATAAAACTCATATTTTGTCCTTACTACTAATTGCTGATCAACTAAACATACAGAAATTGATCTATGCACGCACACACAGCAGAGTAGTCCACCAAGTAGAACATTTTTGTGATGAGAAGAAAAAATGTGAAAAATGAATCAGGTGATTTAAAAAAAAAACAAACTGATTACCTAAGAATTTTCAAAATTTATTTCTGGTGTAGTTTTAAAAAATGGTTTTTTCTTTTTTCTCTTTAATGTGGCAACATTTTCTATATCCTTAGTAGTCAGTCAATGTATTTATGTGGACAGATTAAAGTATTTCTTTGACTTGTAACTTACTTGTAACTTTAAATTATGATAGATAGATTATGCCTGTTACCCTCCCAATGGAGCATAGGCCGTCGACCAGTTTTGTCCAACCAACTCCATCTGTCCTGGGCTTCGCTTTCCGATTCTGTCCAATTGTTGTTCATTCTTCTCATATCTTTCTCTATTTCTCTGCGTAATATATGTTCCATGGCCTTCCTCTTTTCCTTTTTCCTTGAGGGTTCCATGTGAGAGCTTGTCTTGTGACGCAGTTAGCTGGTTTTCGTAGTGTGTGTTCTATCCACTTCCACCGCATCTTCCTGATTTCCTCCTCCACTGGAATCTTGTTTGTTCTCTCCCACAGTATGTTGTTACTGATGGTGTCTGGCCAACGAATCCGAAGTACTTTGCGTAGACAACTGTTAATAAACACTTGTATCTTCTGGATGATTCCTGTCGTAGTTCTTCAAGTTTCCGCTCCATACAGTAAAACTGTGTTGACATTTGTATTGAAAATCCTTATTTTGGTTTTGGTTGAAAGGTGTTTTGAGTTCCAGATATTTTTCAGCTGTAGAAATGCAGCCCTTGCTTTGCCAATCCGCGCCCTCACATCTGCATCGGATCCACCTTGATTGTCGATGATTCTGCCCAGATATGTAAAGGTGTTAACTTCCTCCAAGGCATCTCCATCAAGAGTGATTTGGTTGGTGAATGTTGTGTTTCATCGGAGAATTTTGCTTTTTCCTTTATGTATGTTGAGACCTACTGCTACAGAGGCTGTCTGTCTGTCCTAGGCTTCCCTTCCCAATTCTGTCCAATTGTTTTATTCATTCTTCTCATATCTTTCTCTCTATTTTTCGGCGTAATATATGTTCCATGGCCTTCCTCTTTTCCTTTTTGCCTTGAAGGGGTTCCAAGTGAGTGAGGGCTTGTTTTGTGACGTAGTTACGGTACTTTTCGTACTTCAAATTATATGATAATCATTATTTTTATTTACTTTGTTTCATAGATTTTTGTCTTGCAAGTCCAAAAGATATTCTTGTCACTGTACTATTACCACGTCTACGTGAACATTTATCTATGGAACGTGAAGAACGTGTACGTTCAGAATTAGTACGATGTGCTGTTGGCCTATTACCGTCTATTCGTCGTGAAGATTGTCTTCCTTTAGTACAGCATATTTTAGCATTTTTAAATGATACTAGTTCACAGGTTAGTGAATGATTTGTGTGTCTTTTTTAAATATATATATATATATATATATATATATATATATATATATATCAGCACATTTTAATACATCTACACTTTGAGATTGTATGCTGATCCAATCAGTAGTTAGTCAGCAACAACGTATGTACGTCAGTTAAAGTTGGCGTTATCACACTAGTACACAGAGAGAGAGAGCGATGCAATTGTCAATTCAAATCCCATAGTGGTCGTTGTAAATAAGTAGAAGTATTCGCGGTAATAAAGAAGATTAGGGTTTGAAAATGTTATTCAAGGTGTATAATTTAGTGAAATAAATTTAAAAGTTGAAATATAAAGGTGATGAGGAATTCAGAAGATTAGAAAGGATACATCTGCACCATTGTAAACGATTATGAGCCATATCACATTCAAGGCCTCTAACCATTGGTGACTTTCGTCTCGCGGACCCCAACCAGGTATCCTAGATCTACGAACATGACTCAGTCCACTTGTCACTGACTTCATGGATTTGTGCCATATTTTGCTTTGGCCACCCCTAGCTTTATTCAAACCTAAACCTACACAAAACATAGCTCGTCGAGGCAGTCCTAACACATGTCCCAACCATCTCAACTGATGAGGTTTTATTACTTCATCAATTGATCTACGATCCCTACCTAACACTCGTTTCCTGATTACAGCATTGCTTACTCGGTTGTCCCAGAATACACGAGCAATGCTTCGGAGACATCTGTGATCGAATACTAGTAACCTACGAACATCTTCTACTCTTGAAGGCCAATTCTCGCAACCGTACAGTAGGACGGAGCAAACTGCTGCAATCGTCCTTTGATTAGCAAACGGATATCTCGCCTGCGCCATAAGTGACGCAGGTTAGCAAAAGTCAATTGAGATTTCGTCACACACACCAGGTCATCAGCACTGATGAGACTCCCCAGATAAGGGAAGTGGTATACACGTTCGACTACTTCACTTCCTATCACTAGTTCAGGTGCCGATACAACCCAATCTTGAAGCAACATTTTGCATTTCGACGTAGGAGAACCGAATCCCGAACATGCTTGCATTGTTGCATAGGGTAGTCAGAAGACTCTGCTGCATTTTGTCAGCATCTTCATCGAAAATAGATAAATTGATGATTGATTAATCTGTCCATGTTCATGACTTTTCAATTAGCCTTGATCATCTCCATCCATCGAATCATGGTGAATTATGTTGATGAAGATGATTGAAAAAGACAAATAAATTGTGTTGAATTGTGTATCAGATGATTAGTTTAACGCTAAGAAATCAGATTAGATTCATAGCGATAGTTCTCTAATCAATCAGTTCATGATGTATTTTTACTTGTTATCTGTTAAATCTCTTTGAACTTATATTTCTTTCAATATAATATCTATGACAATTTTTAGTATTGTGATGGAGCGTGTCCATCTCCGGCTGAAATATTCCAATCTACAATCAAATACTTGGGTTTCATTTCACTCTTGTTTTAATCAATACAGATTGCGTGCAAACTTCAAAAAGTTAGTTAGATTCTTTCGAGGTTACAACTCCTTAGCCGTGTGTATTTACAACAACTCTTTGAGGAATCTCCAGCTTGGAACTTTCAAATTTAGTGGCAGAAATCCATGAAGTCAGTGACAAGTCGACTGAGTCACTTAGGTAGATGTAGGCTATCTGGTTGGGGTCTGCGAGACAAAAGTCATCAATGGTTAGAGACTTTAAACGACATGGCTCAAAAACATTTGCAATGGCGCAAGTGCATCCATTCACTGGGCTCTCTCAAATCCTAATCTTCTGGATTCGTCAACACCTCTACCTTTATTTTTCTAACCTTATCTCACTGAATTATACTTCATGACTAATATCTTCAAACCCTAGTCTTCTTCATTAACATTAATACCTCTACTATCTCTATCACTATAGGATTTGATTTAACATTTGCGTCTCTGTTTCTAATGTGGTATGGCAACATGAACTGATGTACTTACGTACAAAGTTCTACGTTGCATCTGACTGACTGACTGATTTAACCTGTTAATCGGTAACTTACTAGTTTTTTTCATCAAGAATATAAAATGTGATAGCTAACCCAGATGAACTTTGTGAAATCCTCATCGTGATTTAGTTATCACATTTCATGTATTTTTGTTAATCCTAATAATAATAATCAGTCAGTCAGATGCAACGTAGAACTTTGTACGTAAGTACATCAGTTCATGTTGCCATACCACATCAGCACAGAGAAGCAAATGTCAAATCAAATCCAATAGTACTAGAGGTAGTAAAGGTATTAGAAGTAATCACAGAGGTTAGGATTAGATATAGTTGCAGCATTAGAATCTTGTGAAAAAAGACTTGAAAAGATAAGTTGTTGAAGAATCCAGAAGATTAGGATTTGAGGGAACACAAAGAATAAGTGCACCGGCGCCATTGCGAACGATTTTGAACCATGTCATTCAGGGTATCTAACCATCGATTATTATCATCTCGCGGACCCCAACCAGGTAGTCGACAACTACCGACATAGCTCAGTCCACTCGTCAATGTCTTCATGGATTATTGCCATGTTTTGGTTTGGCCGCCCCTAACATTCTTCCAACCTACTCCTACACTACAAAACATAGCTCGTCGAGGCAGTCGGTGGTTAGGCATACGCAAGACATGTTCCAACCACCTCAGCTGACAAATTTTCATTACTTCATCTATTGATCTGCCATTCTAACCTAATGCTCGTTTCTTAACAACAGCATTGCTTACTCGGTTGTCCCATGATACACGAGCAATGCTTCGAAGACATCTATGATCGAAAACCGATAATCGACGAATATCTTCTACTCTGACTGGCCATGTTTCACGGCCATAAAGTAAGACGGAGCGAACTGTCGCACAGTACACTCGTCCTTTAGTCAGCAAACGGATATCTCGCCTACGCCATAAGTGACGCAGGTTGGCAAAAGCTAATTGAGACTTCTGTATTAATAATACTAATAATAAACAGCCTGTCTGTAACATTCAAATGTCACTATCCGCTATTCCTTTGTTATCAATGATTGCTTAATTCAAGTTATTTCATTAAATAGTGTGTTACATTATTGATCTTCATACTTTTCTTTTTCTAGTCTAAACAATATGTATTTGAGCATTTCTCAGAATTAGTAGCTTTAATGCCTGCTAATGAGATTCAGCTGACATTATTACCAAGTTTACTTCGTCTTTGGCAAGATAAAAATTGGCGTGTACGTCTTGGTGTTGTTCAATCGGTGCCTTGTTTATACGATAAATTGGTAAGATTGTTATTCTCTCTGTATAAAATTTATGTTCATGTGATGTATATTGAAATTGCCTTGTCATTGACGACTTCATCTTGTGGATTAGTTCTTGAGAAATTGCTGTCTCGTTCTGGTATGGTACTACTAATCAGCAGTGCGCATTCACAAATTCTGAACCTCGCGGGGTTCGAACCGAGCACCTTTGATCTTGTCCGCGAACCAGTGCCTCCAAAATTTTAATGGTGGTTTAACATTGATTGATTCATGATTTCAAAAAGTAATTCAATAGTCTCCACAACCCCATAACGCAAATGACCTGTGCTCATTAGTGACTACTAGCTCTGTGAGGAATCTTCTTGGAGTTCTAGTGAGAAGTCAGGACCAGTTTAGTTCGACCCTGTTTCGGTATGAAACAGTGCTCACTGAAGTCAATAGATGAGGTTCCGCAAGACTGTGAATTGATTGAAGTTAGACACTAACACGGTGAGATGCCGACTCAGTGGTCCCGAGTTTAGGCGTTCGCGCGCAAGGTCGAAGGTGCTTGGTTCGAATCCTGTGAGTGGCAAGAGTTGTGGGTGCTCACTGTTAATGAGTCCCATACCAGGACAAAATGACCATCCAGTGCTTCCAGCTATTTTGATTGTATTGTAAATTGTCACATCTTAATTGTAGCTGAAAGTCACATACACTGCCTTAGAACTTTGTAAGTTATTTACCTTCATTCTCTCCCGACCGTAGCTGCTACCTTGACGTGGTGGTCGGGCTTGCGTATCGTCATGACCCAACCGAGCTATACTGGCTGAAAAATATATTCCTGTAGGTTCTACCACGCCAGGCAGGTCGATTGGAGAACGATGAGACGGAAAAAAGCTACTCAATGTCAGGGCGAAGTCATACTGCTGACTGACTGTGGAGGGGTGTGACAGCAGTAAGTTGTTTCCCTCGGTCAACCAGCATCTGCAGCCATGCTGCCTTCTCATCACAAGGAAGGAAGGGATAGAAAAGGTCGACCCTAAAAATGTCACACCTCACCCTACTTCATGGATTTTCGTCTCCATCGGTAAGGGTGCCCACTAAGGGCTTTTAAGAGCGGAGCTAATACTCAAAAACCCTTCATAAAAATGCCGTGCGTGACTGGCCTGAAGCAGTTGTCCCTTGGACTCTGCGGTTGCGCAGCCAGGTCGTTAAGACCGACACTAATCTGCCTTCCTTTTCAGGTTCCTCAAGGAACAACCTTCGACGGTGTAGGCAGCCCGGAAGTGACAACCGCCCTCATACCCGTAACAGTACACACGAGACCAAATTGATCGAAATCAAATGCTGATTTCATTCTCTATTTTCTTCAAACCATTAATGTAAACTTTGTAAAATTCTACTATTACATACATTCAGTTGTGTAGCAGCAGTTGGATTCGTTTATTACCAACCATTTTCTCTATGTTTATAATTGATATTTTAGCCGGAAAATTGTTTACAAGAAACTGTTCTACCAGCAAATCTTGCATGGTTACGAGATCCAGCTTGGTGTGTACGTGAATGTGCTTGTCGTAGTCTTGCACGTTTATTGGTCGCTTGTCCTGGAGCTTGTAAAAAAGCTTTCAGTGGTGTTGGTTCAAAATCTAGCAGCAATACAAATTCAACCAATGTCATCAGTTCTAATCCAGGCAATACTTCATTGAATACAACAACCAATACATCATCGGGTGGTGGTGGTGCATCGAATACTACTACTTCCACTACTACTGGTAGTAGTAGTAGTAGTAATCTTTCTAGTTCAACAAATACTACACAAACTAGCATAGATGCATTGAATAATAATTCTAGTTTTTCTAGCCTGTCTTCAACGACATCTAATAATACTACTACTGGTACTGGTGCAGGTGCTGGTGCTGGTGCTGCTGTTAATCCAGCCACTGCTTTGACTACACAAGCTGCTGCAGGTGGATTAAAAGCTCTTGCTGTTGATACCAATTATCATCTACGTCAAATATACATTAATGTAGTGCAAGTAAGATGATTTTTACTGTTATTTTTTTTCTCTTCAAATATCCATGTATGATGCATGATTGTTTTGAGCATATACTTACCCACAATGGAGCATAGGCCGCCCGACCAGTTTTCTCCAACCAATTCTGTCTGTCCTGGGCTTCCCTTTCCAGTTCTGTCCAATGTTAGTTCATTCTTCGCATGTCTTTCTCTATTTCTCGGAGTAATGTGTTCCTTGGCCTTCTTCCTTTCCTTTTGCCTTGAGGGTTCCATGTGAGGGCTTGTCTTATGACGCAGTTAGGTGTTTTACGTAGTGTGTGTTCTATCCACTTCCACCGCATCTTCCTGATTTCCTCCTCCACTGGAATCTGGTTTGTTCTCCCCCACAGTATGTTATTACTGATGGTGTCTGGCCAACGAATCCGAAGTATTTTGCGTAGACAACTGTTGATAAATACTTGTATCTTGTGGATGATGCCTGTCGTAGTTCTTCAAGTTTCCGCTGCATACAGTAGAACTGTGTTGACATTTGTATTGAAAATCCTGATTTTGATTTTGGTTGAAAGTTGTTTTGAGTTCCAGATATTTTTCAACTGTAGAAATGCAACCCTTGCTTTGGCGATCTGTGCCCTCACATCTGCATCGGATCCACCTTGATTGTCGATGATGCTGCCCAGATATGTAAAGGTGTTAACGTCCTCCAAGGCATCTCCATCAAGAGTGATTTGGTTGGTGAATGTTGTGTTGCATCTGAGAATTTCGCTTTTTCCTCTATGTATGTTGAGACCTACTGCTGCAGAGTCTGTCTGTCTGTCCTGGGCTTCCCTTTCCAATTCTGTCCAGTTATTGGTTCATTGTTCTCATGTGTTTCTCTCTATTTCTCGGCGTACTACATGTTCCATGCCCTTCCTGTGTTTCTTTTTACCTTGAGGGGGTTCCAGGTGAGTGAAGGCTTGTCTTTTGACGTAGTTACGGTGCTTTTCGTAATGTTTGAGAACATATACAAACTTTTCTTCATTTTCAGTTTTATCATTGTAATAATAAAATAAAGTTTTATCCACGAAACACGAACAAGTATTTTGTGCAAAAATTTTATTCTAAACCACTTTTTACATACAACGAGTACACACACAAAATACATTGGACTCTATATCAAGTGAACTGGTTCTCATGCATTAATTGTGAACTAGTAAAATTGTTGAATGATTGTGTAAACGTCTCACCAAAAATTCGTTATACTAAACACTCTTATCATAATAACACATTATGGTGGTTAGTACTCGAAAAACAAAGCAACAAACGACTAAACATGGATTTGGTTTTCACCAAAAAATTGTTCGTTGTTGGTCGACAAGAGAAAATAGAACTGATAGTCAGGCTTCGAATTTCATTGTAAGGTGCAGGAGTCGTGGATGCGCACTGCTGATGAATCCCATACCAGGACGAAACGGCCGTCCAGTGCTTCCAGGTTTCTAATGGTGGTCTAACAATGGTAGATTGATGATTTCAATAGTGTAAAAACACACACACCTCTCTGTAAGGTTACTGCCGCTCCCAAACCCGACCGAATAACGAAGGACTATCGTGTGTGGGATTACCGACTACATCCCATAGAAAAAACCAACTCGCTAAAAGAAAATGTCAATCCTTATAACTAATGAAACGGTTTATATCACGTGGACGATGGACATGATATCAATCAGCGAATTGAATCAGCACAAAACTCTAGTTCAATCGATTCAAAACATGATCATTTGAGAGAATCATGCTCACACAAAGAGAGAGATCAGGAGATTCTGCATAGGAACTTTGGTGTATACATTGTTGAAAGCTAAACGATGAAGAAACATTCACTGAAAGTGACTTGGATTTCAATGATTCGCTAAATGATAGAAATCATCTTCATAGTATTCGATAAGTAAGAGTATGACAGAATTTGTACAACTGAACAACATCTGCAACTCAAAACAACTATCAACTAACAACAAAGTCACCATTTTCAATACAAATGTCAAAACAGTTCTATTGTATGAGTCAGTCAGTCAGTCAAACAGTTGCAACGTAGAACTTCGTACGTATGTACATCAATTCATGTTACCATACAACATTAGCACAAAGATGCAATTGTCAATCCAAATCCCATAGTGATAAAGATAGTAGAGGTATTAATGGTAATGAAGAAGACTAGAGGGTTTGAAGATCTTATTCAAGAAGTATAATTCAGTGAGATAAGGTTAGAAAGACAAAGGTAGAGGTGCTGGCTAATCCAGAAGATTAGGATTTGAGGGAGCACAACGAATGGATGCACTTGCGCCATTGCAAACGATTTTGAGCCATGTCGTTCAAGGTCTCTAACCATTGGTGACTTTCGTCTCGCGGACCCCAACCAGGTGGTAGCCTACATCTACCAACATCACTCATTTCATTGGCATTAAAGTTACTGAAACCTATTCATTCGTTTACTTGCTAATTTATGTGAAATTATATTGTGGCAGAGTTTTATTCTCTGAACTGAATGTTTTGGTTGTGGAGCTTTCATTATTTTTCTTTTGAACAACGTCATCAGCGCAAACTGAATATAGAGAAGTGAAGTATTCGAATTTCTTCACGTAGCTTTTTCTGTTAACCTCTCAATCTTGATTGGTTGTTATTGACCGTAAAACCTATCGTCGTTGTTGTAATGGCTTACTTAGATATATTTTCCGGCTAAATCCTATTGCTTAGTATTCTCTGACCACAATACACTGAACAAGTTCCAAAGAATCAAAAAACACGGTTGAACAGGAAAAGATTATATTCCAAATAGCAAGGTTGAATGGAAATAAGAAGCCCAAGGCGAAGGCAAAATAGATACAACGTTAGTTTCTTTATAGTATTTACATGAGAAGCTTCTTGATTGTATTTCACGTGATCGACTGGATTAGATTTAGCTTACAGCTTACAACACGAGAATTTTCTACCCTGTTCTCCAAGAATCGATCAGGCTCTGATTGGTTAGGAAATTAGCCAATAAGCGCGCAGCAACGTAGTCATGCTTTAATTCCATCTATGCCCCAGTAACACCTCCCCTTTGAGAAGATTCGTAGGATCTGGCGCTAGAGTCCAACTGCTTCCTGGGTGCCTTGCCACTCGTACTCTTACGAGCCGCCTGCTTTGTAGGCGGCTCCTTTGATCTGTTCCTTGATCCTAGATTTGCGTATGATGTTTCTGATTAGTTGATAAGTCGGATCAACATCAATGTGTTTGTTGAATGCTGATAGACCTGAATATCCAGCTTCTGAAAATTTTATGTAGTGTTCTTAGTGCTCCTTCCATCCAGTATTTTGCAATGTAGGAATAGCTTGGACGAAAGCTAGGGGCGGCCAGATCAAAACATGGCACACATGCATGAAGTCACTGACAAGTAGACTGAGTCATGTTGGTAGATGTAGACTACCTGGTTGAGGTCCGCGAGATAATAGTAATGGATGGTTAGAGACCCTGTATGACATGGTTCAGGTGCATTAACTCTTTGTGTTCTATGAAATTCTAACCTTCTGAATTTCTCATCACCTTCATTTTTCGCTTTCTAAATTTACCTTATTGAATTATACTTCTTGAATAACATCTTCAAACCTTAATCTCTCCGATTACTTTTAATACTTTTCCTACCTCTACTACAATGGGATTTGAATTGACAATTATATCTCTGTGCTAAGGTGGTATGACAATTTGAACTGCTGTGCCTACGTGCAAAGTTCTACGTTGATGTTTGATGAGAATGACGATCCAGTATTTCAACAAGCTACAAGTCATACGTGGAGAAATTCGAATATTTCACTTCTCTGTATGAGGTTTGTGCTGATGTTGGTGTTGTTCAGCTGAAGAACTATGGAAGGTCCACAACGAAAACTTCCAGCTCAGAGAGAACGAAACTCCACCACAATCATCCCCCTAAGCTACAAATTTTCTTCACCATTGCAAAATCATCTTGTCCCAAATAACATCAGCTCCTTGTTGCCCGTGTTTAATAGTAACTGCCGATTATTGAACAAAATCACTTTCTAACTACCCAAGTTTCGATTCATGCTTAAATTTTTAGGGGGAATCAATTAAGCTTATCTGTGCCAAATGTATAGAGTTGCTTAGTTTTTCTTTGAATGACTAATGTTCACAAATCGGATTACCGCTTTTCGCTGAATGTACTTTTTTTTATAGGCTATTTGGGGCCCTGGTATCTTGGATGAACCTCCTTACAGTGCTCTAGGTGATGATCCTAGTGCAGGAATTATTTTTCCTGCCTCTCGAAATATCTATGCTTATTTGTCGTCAAAAACATCAAAGAACTCTACAAATTCAGATAATTTAAATGTTACGGCAGTTCCTAAAGGTTGTCAAGCTCCACCACAAGTACCTAATGTTTTTTTGACTGGATGTGTAGCTCAATTGTTACGTTTTATTTCGGAGGATGTAGTACCGAATGTACGTATTTGTGCATCACAAGCTCTTTACATCATCTCCGGTTCTTTGGATAAAAAGTGAGTGCTATACTTTCATATTTCTGTTGAAGGGGTTATAATTCTCAAAGTGTTAAGTTTGTTTTTTCTTATGTACTTTAAGTTGCTATTTTCATGCTGAAAGTAGTTTTTAATACTAATTTTAAAATAGTGTAACCAGCAGTCGCTGAACGGCGGATAGGATCTAAAATCACCACAACACAGTTTAACACCACCTCACACCAAGAGAGAAAATGAAGTGGTAGCCGCGGGGTTTGTACAGAAATAGGGTGGGTAGAGTTTACCAAAGTCTTATGAGTCAGTCGTCCTGTAAGTTCAGTGCACTTAGAGCTTGTTCTTCAGCTTTCAAAGCGTTTATGTTTGATCGGCCCTGAAATGGAAAGAAAACAGAACGGGTTAGCAACATCAGTAGTATACATGGTGATTTTGACTCCGTTACAACCTTTTTTCTCATTAAATATTTTCTTATTCAATGACTGTTTGTTTTGACAAATTGAAGCTGTTTTCCTCTTGTACAGACAAGTAATAATAACACTGGCTCTCTCTTATCATCATTTACCGTGGTTATGGTTAAGTAATGTAAGACCTCCAGTGGAACATAATGATTTATTCTAATTTAAACTATAAGAAATTGCAGAAATGCCATTCTTCCTTGATTTTGTTCATACTGTGTTCAAGATCTCTGATTCTAGAGTGTATCTACTTCGTTATGCTATCTTAGTGAATTTCATTTATTATTTTAACAGTCTGTTTTACACCTGCACGTTAACACGTCAACTTGATATGCTTGAACTATTACGAGTTTACCTTAGTCGGAAAATGAGAGAGAGGAATCGAGGATCCGGCGACACGACATGCTACTCAAATCCGATTATCTCAAACCCCATATTGAGTAAAAGAAGACAAGACTTGATATGAAGTAGAACATGTATTCTACAAGCATCCAGAAAGTACGAGGTCCGAATCCAGAAGAGAATCAGGACCCCGGACTAGGGATCCGTGACCGGGTCCTGATCCTGGTCATAAAACGTTACACCTAATGCGTATTTATACGTTTTGGTCGAATAGGAAACAGCATCAAATTCTGTGACATTGACAGTTAAGACAACCAATAGGAAGCAACATTTGAAGTGTCATTGATAGTCAGGACAACCAATAAGAAACAACACTGGAGCACGTGACATTGATATCTACTAGGAAGACCATAAAATTGACCAGTAGGAATTAACCAATAGGAACTGAAGAATAATTCTCTTAGGTTATTGGATGAATATCCTAACACTGTCTAAATGTGAAGCATTTCTCATTCTTTTTTTGAATGATCTAAAGATAGTTTTCAAATGGTTTTATACTAAATTAACCGACATATTTTATTCGTCAGTATGGCAATGCGAAATGTTACTTCAGCATTGGCTTGCATCAGCATCTGAACTCTAATGATAATAAGGTAGTGAAATAGTAGTTGAGCGTGTCGACCGATTCACTTATCTTGAGAGTCTCTTCACTGCTGCTGATGGCCTGGTGGCTGACGAAATCTCAGCGTGGATACAGAGAAGGTGTACCTATAATCTTAGAGGAATTAATGCTGCCTAAGTTACAATTCGAATCCAGCTTTATAGTTTATGATGTAATCAGTTGGCTGTTTGATTTTGACCAACTTGGTCTCTCGTGCTGTTACGGGTATGAGGGCGATTGTCACTTCCCGGCTGCCCACACCGTGGAAGGTTGTTTCTTGAGGAACCTGAAAAGGAAAGTAGATTAGTGTTAATCTTAGAGATCTGGGTGAGTAACTGCAGAGCCCAAAAGACAACTGTTTGAGGCCGGTCACGCACGGCCTTTCATAGAAAGGATTTTTGAGAATTAGCTCCGCTCTTAAAAGCCCTTAGTGGACACCCTTACCCAAGGAGACGGAAATCCGTGAGGTAGGGTGAGGTATGACATTTTTAGGGTCGACCTTTTCTAACCCCTTCTTTCCTTGTGAGAAGTCAGCATCGCTGCAAATGCTGGTTGTCCGAGGGAAACACCTTACTGCTGTCACACCCCTCTGCAGTCAGCAGTACTTTGAGAAGCTACTTTTAGTCTCATCGTTCACCAATCGACCTGTCTGGCTAGCATGGTAGAACCTTTAGGAACATATGTTCCAGCCGATATAGTTCGGTTGGGTCATGACGATAGGCAAGCCCGACCACCACATGTCAAGGTAGCACCTGCGGTCGGGAGTTGGCTGTTTTGGTCCACCGCTGAAATGTGTCGTAAGAGAAAGAGCTCTCTCTCATTTACATAATCAACTACGAATCAACGATCAATCAATTTGTGCGTGTTTTTTTTAAATAATAATTATGCATGATTATGTTTAGAATCGATACGCTCATTGTGTGTCTCTGTGTGTGTGTGTGTTCATCTCCCTTTTGCTCCTCATTTATTTGTTCCGTTTTTCTCTTTTTCTTTATTTATTGTTGTTTCAGAACTATTCAAAATGATGTGATACCGGTTTTAAAAAAGGCTGTAGATTATGATTCAGATCAGGATGTGCGTTTTTTTGCACAACAAAGTTTAACTTGTAAGTTGATTAGTTTGCACTTTCGAAGTAAAGTTTATTTACTACATAAAAACTAAAAAAAAACATTAGATCAAGTTGTCTACCGAACATCAGTCAGTCATTTGCAACGTAGAACTTCGTACGTATGCACGTAAGTTCAGGTTGCCATACAACATTAGCACACAGTGACGCAAATGTCAAATCAAATCCCATAGTAATAGAGATAGTAGAGGTATTAATCGTAATGAAGAAGACTAGGGGGTTTGGAGATATTATTCAAGAAGTATTATTCAGTGAGATAAGGTTAGAAAGACAAAGGATTCCAGAATCCAGAAGATTAGGATTTGAGAGAGCACAACGAATAGATGCACTTGCGCCATTCTGAACGATTTTGAGCAATGACGTCGTTCAAGGTCTCTAACCATTGATGAATTTCGTCTCGCGGACCCCAACCAAGTAGTCGACACCTACCGACATGGCTAAGTCCACTCGTCAATGACTTCATGGATTTGTGCAATGTTTTAGTTTGGCAACCCCTAGCTTTCTTCCAACCTACTTCTACACCACAAAACATAGCTCGTTGAGGCAGTCGGTGGTTGGGCATTCCTACCGAACATGGAGAAATGTCAGATTCTAGTCTTGAGTTAGCCGGTTTCTAACAATAGGTTGATACCGCATTGGTCCCATCAAAGGATCGTGGAGCCCATGTGCACCTTTGATTTTGAATGAAGGTTTTCCAACTGATTTATGTGGATGCTTCGTACCCACGAAGTTGGTTTATCGAGGTGGACACCGCCTTTTCGTCCTTTCGATTTTGTAAACAACACCTGTGCTGTTCACTCTCTTTGGCTATTTACTCATGGCCATAGAAGAGCATTTAAAGAGGAGAGAGAAAGCCGACTCTTCCCGTTCTTGGCTGTACCAGGGCATTTGGAAGCGCAATCATGTTATAAAGTACAACATATGTACAAAACGCATGTTTGTACTCAACTTTGAATTATTCTATATGAAGACGGACTGCTACCAAAATGGAAGTATGCTAAACACAGTTGAAATTAATCATCTAATCCGTCAAAAGATGAGTGAGTAACTGATTAACCAATTAAGCTATTACAATATTTTGTCAGTTTTAAACATATAATTTGGGTACAGTTATTAGGCATAGAAATCTATCTCAGCTAACCAATCAGCTACAACCTAGAACTTGATACGTGCACATACACCTGTTCAAGTTGCCTATGGCACATGAGCGCATACTGAGATAGAATTGTCAATTGTCAAAGAAGGTCGTGAGGAATTTAGAAGATTAAAATATGAGAGATGACAAACAATAGATGCATCTTCGCTATTGCTAACGATTGTGAGCCATATTATTCAATGTTTCTAGCCCATTGGTCACTGTTTTCTCGCGGTCCCTATTCACGTAGTCTGCATCTAACATGTCCTGATCTAGCTGGGTTCCTAGCTTTCCTCCAACCTATCACTCCCCCTACATTCAGTCTGCGCTAAATACTAATGTATTTACTAATTGAAGTAAATACTATTACTCATGCTTATTGTCATAGGTATATCAAAGTTTTAAACTGATCACTAATAATTAAAAGTCAGCTATAAGATGAACAGTTTTTCACTGAGTTGAATAGACGTTTTTTGTAATTGTTTTTAGAGTAGTGAAAACCGACTTATTATGAATAGTTTTCTCAGTTGTCAGTCATACTTACTGTTTAAAATATGATACCGGTTAGTCACTCATGACCAAAGTAGATGAAAAGTAACCTAAAAGTTGCTAAGCACAATGTTGGTTCAGGATTAGTTTGCATCAGCACCTGAACTACTGATAAGGAGTAAACTAGTTGAGCTTGTCGATCGCATCACTTATCTTAGGAGTCTCATTATTTGCTAACGGTCTGATAACCTCATGGATTTCTGCCATGTTTTGGTCTGGCCGCCCCTAGCTTTCTACCAACCTACTTCTACACCACAAAACATAGCTCGTCGCGGCAGTTGGTGGTTAGCCTTAAGTAACACATGTCCTAGCCACCTCAACTGATGAAGTTTCACTACTTTATCTATTGATTTGCCATCCCTACCTAGTACTCGTTTCCTAACGACAGCGTTGCTTATACGGTTGTCCCATGATACACAAGCAATGCTTTGGAGAAACCGATGATTGAATACTATTAACCTTCAAAAGTCCTCTACTCTTAACGGCCATGTTTCGCATCGATATATGAGAACGGAGCGAAATGCTACGCATTACACCCGTCCTTTGGTTAACGAACGGATATCTCGCCTACGCCATAAACGGCGTAAATTGGCAAAAGCCAGTCGAGTTTTCTGTATCCGCGGTGAGATTTCGTCAGTCACCAGGCTATCAGCGCTGATGAGACTCCCCAGATAAGTGAAGCGGTCTACACGTTCGACTACTTCACTCCCTATCACTAGTTCAGGTACCGATACAACCCAATCTTCAAGCAACATTTTGCATTTCGGAGGGGCTGGAAAATGGCATCCCGAATATGCTTGCATTGTTGCTTAGGGTAATCAAAAGACTCTGCATTTTGTCAGCGTCTTCACCAAATAGAACTATGTCATCAGCATATTCTAGATCAGTAAGCGAATTTCACGGTAGAAGGTCAACTTCTTTAAAAATCTCACGAGTTTAATGTCTACGACAAAGTGAAACAAGAATGAAGTGAGTGAACAGCCCTAACAGACACCACTTGATGTAGAGAATTCCGATTGACAGGTCGCCATCAGTTCTCACACTCTCGACCAATGGTGATTATTTCACTATGATAATCATTAGTGTGTGTGTGTAACGATGATTAATTGACTTTTTTTTTCTAAAATAATTCCACTGATTTTCTTCTCTTTCCCTATTCTTTTTCTTTCTATTACAGATTTTACAGCTATGTAATGTATTACCTATTTGTGTGTGTGCGTGTTTGTTTGCGTGTGTATTCTTCTACTTACTTATGTGAAATTTTTTTCAAAGAAACCAAAACCCATTTCACTTTGTTGTCATCGTATGGAATAATAATAATAATAATGTGACTTATTATTTTTCTGTTTTTTTTCCTGCAAAACACAATAAAACTATTACAATCACCCTTTTTGTGTGTGTGTGTTTTTCTCACTTTTCAAATTGATTAATTATGTTAATGATGTTTTATTGTGTGTGTTTGTTCAGTTTTTGCTTTTACTCTCTCTACTCAACTCAACTCACTCACTCACTATTGACATATTGCATTCTCTCTCACACACACTCTCTCTCTGTTTGTATTCTCTTGCTCATGTTTTCCTTTTTTGTATTACGACATAAGAAACGTATTATTACGTAACACACTTGTTAAATTTGTTAATTTGCTTACGCGCTTTACAATTGGTTCTCTTTATTTCCCCTACTGTTCCCCTTCATTGATTGGTGTTGTCAAGAATAGAGAAGCAGCAATTTAGTTGGTTGTGTTTATTATGGTAATTCCCTCCCTCGTTGTTTGTATGTATGTATGGTAAACCGTAATCTCTTTGGCATACGGCGTACACATGCGAGCGCGCCTGCGTGCGTACGTTCAGTTGCTTTTAATGAATTAAATTGTGTGCTGTTATATTTTGTTCTGTTTTTCGGCACATTGTTTTTTAACTTTACTTTTACTGCTCATCTCTCTCTACTAAAAGTATCAATTGCATGTGAAATGTATGTGCGTGTATGTGTGTGTGGTTATGTGTGTATGTGTGTGCGTGTGTGTACATCGCGATGATGATGACGGCGACGACAACGACTATCTTGATCATCATCATCACCATCAAACAACCCCAATCGTTCAAGTAGTAGTACCCTGCTGCACATTTTACATATATATATATATATTGATCTTTCAAATTCTTCCAACTGCAGTCTGTTGTTGTTGGCGTCGGCGTTGACGGCGTCGTCGTTGTGGACATTGTCCACAGTTTCTCTCACTCTCTCTGCAATCAAAGCAACAACGATGACAGGCGCAAACACAAGCGAACAATGGGATTCCAGCTTTGAAAATGACTATGTATCATTGTGTTTCTCTTTCGTTTCCCCCCCGCCCTGCCGTATCTCATTTGGCTTCTATTTAATAATAATTCAAATAATTATTATGATTATGATGATAACGTTATTAAATAAAGTTAATTTTAAATTTTACGAGAAAAAAAAACCGTAAAAAAAAATACAATTGTACCAGCGTAAACACAATTGTGTAGTGATTGTTTTCATTTGTTTTGGTTTTCTGTTTGTTTTCTGTTTCTGTTCGTTCAATCGTTCGTTCGTTCATTCATTCATTTTGTAGATGACACATTGTGAATAAATATTTTCTCGTTGTTATTGTTGGTTGAGTCAAGTGTGCATGTGTTAGGCCCTCATGTGACCTCAGTGAATGTGAGTGAGGATCGATGGTCGGGTGACATGAATGACTTACTTACGCCAGCAGTTACCCCCCAGTTAAGCAGAGGCTGCCCACTAGTTTTTTAATTCAACCAACTCCTAGGCTTCCTTTTTTTAGTTCTTTTCCGGTTTTTTGTTCATTCTTCTCATGTGTTTAGCTTTTTGTCGGCGTAAAATGTGTTCCTTGGCGACATGATAAGCTACTCTAATTTGAGCGTCCCAAACCCACATTGATTAGAAGAAGAAGAAGACTTCATATGAAGCAGCAGTACATGTATTCTACAAAAATCCGAGTCTAAAAGGGAATCATGATCCCGGACTTGGGACTCGGATCGTATGCAGTTAGGTTGAACAGGGAACACAACATTGAAGTATGTGACATTGATAGTTAGGACGACCTATAGGAATTGAAAAGGTTTGTGTAATAACTCTGGTGTATTATTATTATTCCAGTCGTTACTACCAGTACTACTGAACATGGAGTTTTATGCGGGTTGTGTGAGTTATGCCTGCACCTCAACTTGATATGCTTGAACTATTACGAGTTTACCTAGTCGGAAAACGAGAGCGAGGATCCGGCGACACGACATGCTACTCAAATCCGATTATCCCAAACCCCACATTGAGTAAAAATAAGACAAGACTTGATATGAAGTATAACCT